TTAAATGCCTTCGAGAAAGCATTAAGTATAACCACACCCAAGTATATCGGGTGTGAAATCAGTGTAATACTTACCCACTCTTCCGTTTATGGACTCTGTAGAAATGTAAATCTCTTCAATAGAAAAATCAGCGTGAAACGTCCATACTGGAGAAATAAAAACATATTTTTTTAAATATTTTAATAATATCATAATAATGTCTGTTAAGAGTTAACATAATTTCGTATGGCATCAGTCAATCATATTTCAAAAATGCTTAATGCATACTTCGAATGAATATTCAATACTTTTGTATATATCATTTTTAACATTATTAATTTTGTATTCTTTTGTAAACTCTACTGAAATTGATTAACCTATTCCAATTGTGTTAACTAATTATGTTGTGCACTATAATTTTGCCTTACCATCTATTTGATTTTGCATTTATTATCTTATCATTGTAACTACATTATTCTGTTTGTAAAATCTCCTTAGAGGAGAAATAAAGAGAATAACAATAAATACCAGGCGGTCACATTTCACCCCTGGGTGTTTTAGTGGCACAGTGGATAGCGCACTCGCCTTTAACCAATATGGCAGAGGTTTGATCCCCCAATGCAATCAGACGTTAAAAGGTATGGTTAATTAGTTACCTGCCCAACCACATGGGTTTTTCTCCAGGTAATCTGGTTTCCTTCCGCATAAAGACCCCCTTCAAACCAACATTTAGGTCAACCAGATTGATTAATATTAGTTATGTAACTTGATTCATAATTATTGTAAGCTAAGGAAAGTTTATATTTTAAATTCTGTAACTATTTCTATATAAGAAAGCCCAGAATTGTGTTATCTGTACATAATACAGTAGCGATATGTCTATAAGGACAATGTATCTATAGCCGTTGAGGTTACCTGTGTATAAAGACCACCTGTCTATAAAGTTCACCTGCATATAAAGGTCACCTGTCTATAAAGGTAACATTTAAATGAAAATCACATGTCTATAATGGTAACATTTAAATGAAAATCACCTGTCTATAAAGGTCACTTGTCAATAAAGACCACCTGTCTATAATTTTACACTTTTCCATTAAAACCACCTGCATATAAAGGTTACCTGCCTATAAAGACCACCTGTCTACTAAATCACCTGTCTATAATGGTTAATTGTATATAAAGAACACCATTTTTCCATAAAAATCACCCGTTATAAAAGTCACTTGTCTTTTAAAGACTACCTGTTCATAATGGTCACCTGTCTATACCTAGTATCTACAGAAGAACCCATTTGTTTTCTATTTAAAAACATTCTGTTACGGTAACATAAGACCTCTTGTCTGTGTATTTGCTATCAGAATCAAATACCCAAATAAATATTTTTTTGTTTTAAACCTACAGTAATTTGTCAAGTTCTTTGAACAGAGGGAGGCAATCTTGTCTTGTCAAAATGGTGCATCTTTAAATTTAAACTTGAAAAAAATCCCTGGAAAATCTCTATATTATGCTTATTTAATAGCAAATGCCAATTTTGAAATGGGGTTCTACATAAATGAAAAACAGAACAAATTTTGTTTCTGTAATGTACAAACCTTCCTGTAAAACCTGACTATATATATATTAAGACCATGTTTTCCCCTGTCCCTCTGTGGTTTTTATAGGCAGGGTTTAATGTGCCCAGATGGTGGATGTTTCTGTTTTCCCTAATATATTCATCAACAGGCTCGGCTTTGTGTATATTTCTTAAATGTTTATATATGTGTCTGTGTCGACAGCCCTAGGTAAATATCAAAAGCATTAATAATATAAAAGTCTCCCAAGGCTTACACCATTAATGTTTTTGTAATAACAGTCATACCTGTGAACCTTTGAAAGTGTTTGTGGGGGAGAACAGTAAACAGTGATCGACCGCTATTGAACGACTTAACCATTAGCATTAAACATGAAAGATAATATAAGCTGTTCTTTTCAATGAGTTGATTGAATATGAGCAGTAAGCAAGATTTATTAGGAAATCTCACGATTATTTAAAGGGAGACTCGGGCAAGCGTGCACTGTTACTTTTAAGGATCCCTGTGCCACAAACTGTAGCTACATATTTTTCTTGGATGACTAAAGCTTTTATAAACCATCTCTGAAAAAAAAAATACCTATATAATACTACATGTATAAGTAAATAATACTAATAAAACTTTATAATGAATGTTAGCGTTCTGAATGAAAAACACAATGCAGTTCGAACAGGATTTGAATCCGCGAGGGCTTCTGATCAGTACCGGTATACTGTTGCTGCAACCAAAATGAGCTACCTGACAGTGGTTGTAGGTATACCCTCAAAGTCTAGCAAGCTTCAGGTATATCTAAAACAAAATTGAGGGAAGATTGTTATATATGTACGAAAAGCCGCAGCTGAATTCCTGAATGTTTTGCCAGCAGCGGGACAGGGATCCTTAATTAAAGTGTAGGATGTAGTTAAGGATCCCTGTCCCGCTGATACAGTAACCTCCCCTTAACTTATAGGACTTCCCACCCTTCATAATACACATGTTTTTCTTGTCGTATTTTCGTGTGGTCATTTCCATATTGCGTATCGGGCATATTATTACTGTAGTGTAAATTATAGTAACTCCGGGTAAACAAAAAAGTACATGTGCGTGACGATGATATGTCAACACCCGATAACTTGGAAATGTGTAATCACATGTACTTCAGAAATAAAGCTCATGATACAAAGACATTTATTAACTCATGGGAAGACACTGAAATAACATCAGACGACTTCAAGAAGGTTGTATATGAGGCACATGGAATGCAGACTGATGTGTTTTGATTACCGACCTCACCTGTACGTATCAAGTGCTAACAGTAGTTCACAAGCTCTTGGTCGCTACAACATTTGTTGTCGAGCGAGTTATGCTCTGTCAGATAAATTGTTTCACAAATGCAATTACAATAACTCTGTGAAAATAGTGGTAAAATATCAAGATCCCTATAAATTGTAGGTCCATGTGCGTCTACGTGATAACGACATACCATGCAATAGCCTATGGTTACCTATGTACCCGACATGTAAATACCGGGTACATCATGCGTAGGCGGGCTATGGAATGATGTTCGAAGTGTACATGATTCAGAGTAATTTTGTTCCATAAAAGAACAGTAAATTGACAACTAAATATAGTAATTCAATCCGTCGTTTTTGGTATAGTAAAGAAAATAAGTGTCATTGTAAAAATTCTATCCCTCTCCAAAAAGTTCTGATTTTTTTCAAGGTAGAAAACTCTCACCAGGATCAAAATTATTGTAAAATGTAAAATAAATTAATTATAAAGACTTTGTGTGCATTTCGTTCAATTTTTCACTCTTTTTGTATGAAACTATGTGTCCAGGTGTTTGCTTAGCTTGTATTTTGTAACTTTTATCCATACAATTTCAATAAAAAACGCATTTTGTAACATGTTGTAGATATTTTATGATAAATAAAATATTTGTAGGGTTGATTAGCAATGTTTCTTTTCATTATTTTATTGTTGTAATAGTTTTGAACAATGTCCCACACTCAAAAAATATGAAAGTGTTGAATTTGACAAAAATTGTATTTTTCAGTATTTTTTACAAAAAAATCTCCAGTTTATCGGAACGATTAGATTTTCATAAAATCACCTCCTCATAGTGATATAACCATTATGTGAAACTTTCATTGAACTCTGCTGGCTTAAATTGTGAAAGGGTGGAGCCTCCTTTATTTTGTTTGAGATATTATTCTAGCACAGTTGGGTAGGAGTCTGTAGGACTTCTGTTGACCTGAAGTAGCCCAGTCAGTTTGGGAGACAGCATATTACTCTGAGGTCTTGGGTTCAAATCTCAGGCTCATGCTGCTTAGGGTTTTTAAACACAGAACACTGTTGTTGATTATATTTTGTTTATTTTACCGGTATTATTTTTCATAAACCTCTAAGGAGGTTTGGTTTTCATTTCAGAAATTAGTTTAACAAAACTGTAGTCATGCTTTAAACAGTTTCCTAATGGTACAGGGATCCTTAAGTTTACTGTATCCATATACAGTTTATAACCCATTAGTCTGCTCTACAAGGGTGCATTTTATGTCATATGATACGATGATTATATAAAGGGCAATTAAAAGCCATGAGTACTTCGTTTTTAAAGAGAAGCTGTTAAATGTTCGTGTTATTTGATCTGTTAATCATCACATAATAAATATCAAGCTACACATAAAAGTTTCTATCGAAAAGTTTTGTATTTAAATCACTCGTAAAGGCAATGATTTAGAGTTATTTATGCAATACAGTTAACGTGTACAAGTAACCCCTCAGCCTCCTAGCTAATATTTAAATGAAAATCTCAGAGAAAAAAATATTTTGATTGTGCAGGTGAATATGATGTTCTGTTTAATATTCTTCAGGAAATGCCTGATGAATTAATTTGTTCTAATGTACATGTGCACATGTATAACTGAAACTAGATATACGATTGGTACTGAATTGTATTTTAGTTTTGAATGATGCTGTAATTCCTCCAATAATGATATATTTATTAAAAAGAGTGAAAAATGTATGTGCGGGTTAATAAGTGGGGTGGAGATATTGGCATAGGCATTCAAGATAACCTCCCCCCCCCCCAAAAAAAAGAGTTTAAAACAAAAAAGAACTCAATCAATATTTAATATTGTAATGATTTAAATATCTTAAAAGAATTATATTTTTCAAAAAAGAACTTTTTAACAATGGTCATAGGTGAATTCCAATTTAAAAGTGTCTGCACATTAAAACCCTGGTTATACTGCCATCATTTGGTCAGAGAAGTTAAACTTGGCATTATAAAGGGGTTTGGCAATAAATGGAGGGAAATGTTTAAATGAATTCCTAAGAAATCGAGAAAAAGGGAACTTGAAATATGTTGGCATTAAAAGAGGTGGCAAATGAAATGATAGGAAATTTATTGAGGGTTTACTGTAAGTTGTATTTTGAGATATTTACTGTATACCTGTGATTTTGTTTCAGTGTAACAAAGTCCATCGGAGACAAGGCGTTTGAGTTGACGATCAGCGGTAGTAATGGAGATCGGGTGCGGGTCTGGGCCCAGGTGTTGGATGCCTTCGATGGCACCTATATCGGTCGCTTTAGACTCGTCAACTCCTACAATGGTTTAACCATTAATATCAAATACAATGGTCAGCATGTAGCAGATTCACCGTATCAACTTAAAGGTAATGTCTAAAAAAACCACCTGTTTATATACTGTAAAAGCATAATATTTCGTTGGGGATTTTATTTCGTTTATGAAACCACACAATATAATCCCAACGAAATTTTAAGCGAAATATGAACTAAACGATAATATGAAATAAACAATTAATTTAACTACAAATCCATGCTGTATTTACATTTCATGAGTCATGAGTCATGATAAACAGTGTAATTATCGTCACAGGCACAGAGGTAAATTCTTATAACAATAGCGTGTCAATCAAGCGTTATATTTGTAACGCAGTTACATCGCTCTTTGTATGTAAATTATAGAGCATGACGGATTTGACCGATATCCATCGAGTGAGTTGATCTCGCCGGGTCTGATCTGTACCTCGCAAGTCATGCAGTGAAATCAACTTCTAATGCAATAGAGAAACTATTGACTATTGCTTAAATTATTAAAAACACACGTCTTCCTTCTGGAGTAATATTTTCATTGAACTCGGCGTGATTTTCTCACATGATGTGTCAAGGTAACCATGAATATTTATGAAATGCATGCTCGTTATCTTATCAGAATTTGTGTTATAAAATGTCGGTAGACCTAATTATTTCCATTTTAGATAGCTATTAACTACCACACATGTATGTTTAGACTTATACTTTTAGACTTTTAAATTATATGATCATCGAGCGATGGTCGATCTATTGTTTTCCACTGACTGGGGTGAAGCGAGGTATGAAAAATTTACCTGGAGTGGACAGGTGGTCACCTGAGGCGATGTACAGTTTATAGCTCAGGACCTATTTTGTGTCATGACGCCTGTCAATTTTAACTTCTTACGAACCAAAAAAATGAAGTTTTAAAATAATGATTCCACAAAATACAATCCCAACGAATTTGTCCCAAAACAAAAACAACGAAATTTAACCCCAATGAAATTACATACTTTTACAGTAGGTAAAGGATGTGTTGCCATAGAAACCATATGTCTTTCAAAGTAAAAAACATATCTGTACAGTATAAAGGTAAGAACTTACCTGTCTAAAGACAACCTGAACTGTCTAACTCATTCACCCCTACATATCTAAACTGGACTTGCCCAGTCTTTGATTGGATAAGGTTCAAATGCGACTTCAGGGGTGAATTGGTTAAGGGTAGAATAACCTACCTTAAATACCAACTCTCTATGCATGTATGGGTAAGGAATCCAGCTTTATTGACAACCTGTCTATAGATACAATTCTATTTCAAAATACGTTACCACAGTCATTATAATGCATATTCCAACCTTACTTGGCTCTTTACATACGTAAATAAAGAATTCCCCCCTATGGGGAACCCCTGGAAAACCCACCAATCATACGGCAGTATTCACGCACGTGATCAGACTCGAAGCCATGCTTCCCACTTCATAATTCCTTCAGCCTTCCGTGTTTACGGACGTGTTTTGGTTTCTTACTACAGGGTTCCAACTGCTACTGGCGTTGTTTGTACCGATATATTGTATCTTTTATACTATATTACTTTATTTTGTTTTAATTTAGCGTGTTGCTTTATTTTGCGCTGTTTTGCGACCAGGCTCCAGCCACATGTTCGCGTTTGACGGTTTGTTTACTTTGAGATGGAGACTCCTCCTTCTCAATGGCGCTGTCCTGGGGGTCATTTATTCGAGGCTTCCGACCCCTACCTTACTGTCCTAGCTGTCGGTCTTGCTCTCTGGAGCAGCCCTGTGACATTTGCCGTGCCTGGCAGCCGACTCCTGCCGGTGGTTCTCCCCGACCGGGAGGGGTAGGGGTGGGGCGAGGGCTAAGGCTAGACCTAAGCCCTCGGAGAACACCAGCGTAATTTCTACCTCTATTGAGTCTTCCCTGGGGTTCGTTTCGGCGGGTTCGGCCCGTGACAGTGCCGTTGTNCCCTTCCATTTTGTCGGTCGAAGTGGGTGAAGGTTTGGGCTCTGTCCCGGTCACCACGGTGACTAGGGGACAGGGGGGTGCCTTCTCTCCCAATTTGTGATGGGAGGGCAGGTGGCCCAAAATTCCCTTGGGAACGTTAAACAGGCCAACCATGTTGTGTCCGCAGACGCTTCTGTTGGTAGCCTCCTGCCTGTCCGCTCCACTTCTGAGGAGACCAGCCCCCGGCAGTTTTGTCTGCTCCCTGGGTTTCCTGCATCCCTGATGTAGCCCCTGGCATGGTGACAGCGTCTAGCACGCCGTTTATCACTGTGCAGCGTTTGCTGCCTGGTCCGGTGGTAAGTGATGCCTAGGCCTCGCTAGCCTCGGCTGGACTTTATGGTGGTATGAGCACTGGTGTAAAAACCTATGCTCCAAGCTCTATCCCTTGTGCCTCCTTCCCTGGTTTTCCTATGGTAGATGCCAGTGCGGCTGCGTTTGGTTTTGCCGGTGCACGCTGCTCCCTGGTGGGGCTTGTTTTACTGGCCCTACAGGTTTTGGCCCTGCTGTAGGTCAGTCTGGGTGGAGTTGGTCAGGTCAGCCAGATGTGGCTTATGGCGGCGGGTGTGTAGGTGGCCCTTGGTTCCCTACCCCGCCCCCCCAAACCAGTCCTGCCTCCGGTTTCGGGCATCAGGTTGGTGGCTTTATCCCACCTATTTGCAGGGTGGCAATGGAGCTCATTGAGGTCAACAGGCTCCTTTTTTGTGCTCCGCCCCAACCACCTATGGGCAGTCTTGGGGTTTCTTCCAGCAGGGGGCTTTTCGGGCCGCTCCCCCTCCACCCCAGGGTGGTATGGGGTTCCAGCCTTGATATGTCCCCCCCCGCTGATATGTCCCCCCCCCGCCTTCTTGCCTGCGGCGATGGGTCCCCCCCTCCATCCGCCACCGAGCCGTTCGCGTAAGCTTCTGCTGCCGGTTCTGTCAGGCAGAGACCGCGTGATGCTAGGGCTGCTGGTCGTGCTGCGTTGGCTCCAGCTCCTATTTTGTAGTTTGAGTCTACCAGTAACTTCTGCTGTCCTGTGTCAACTCCTACCTTACAGCAGGTCCCAGACAACAGACAACTCCACTGTGGTGGCTTATCAGCAGCGCCAGGGGGGCACCCATTCCCCGGCTCTGTGTGCTTTTTCCACCTAGGTCCTGTTGCTGTGTCAGGTGATCAGTCTCGATCTCACGGTGAGGCACCTTCCAGGTCGTCTGAATGTTCTGGCCGACACTCTGTCTCGGTCTCAGAGCCCGGTTCTGACCGAATGGACCCTCAAGCGTTCAGTGTTCCGGTCTCTTTGCCTAGTTTGGGACAGACCCCATGTGGGTCTGTTCGCCACTGCCCTGAACTTTCGACTCCCTACGTTTGTGTCTCCGGTTCCAGATCCTATGGCAATGGCGGTGGATGCTCTATCCCAGGACTGGTCGGGAATGTACGCCTATGCATTTTTCTACCTTCAATCTGGTGGGCAGGGTGTTGGAGAGGATTCTTCTACACCCTTGTACTGTGTTGCACCGCTCTGGCCTCGACAACCTTGGTTTCCTCTGTTACTTCGTGCAGCATCCTACCCCTGTGGGATCTGCTGTCTCAACCGAGGTCCCAGCAGTTCTACTTTGGACCAGAATGGCTCCACCTTCACGGTTGGATGCTATCTCGGGAAGGCTCACTCAGACGTGCTTTTCTCGAGAAGTTGCAACTCGCATCGCAGGATCACTTAGACCTTTGTCCTCCGCCGTCTACCAATCTCAATGGTCCGCCTTCGGTGATTGGTGTGTCGGACAGTGGATTGATCCAGTCTCTGCCTCTGATCCCATTGAAGCCGACTTTCTTTTGTCTCTGTTCCAGGACAAAGGTCTGTCTCCGGGAACTATTGCAGGCTATCGTTCAGCCATTGCTAGTGTGCTGGCTTTCTATGGTAGCAAGTCTGTGTGCTCGGATGCTTCATTGTCTGCTCTCATTAGGGGCTTCTACATTGAGAAGCCTCGTTCACGGCAATTGGTCCCTAGGTGGAATTTAGCACTTGTGCTAGATGCCTTGTTGAGGGCGCCATTCGAGCCCGTTCAGTCGACGGATCGGAAGTTTCTTACTTTCAAGACTGTGTTCTTGATAGCCTTTGCTTCCAGTCGCCGCAGAAGCGAGATTCATGCTTTCAGCAGATCTCCTTCTTGCCTTCGTTTTTCGGCTGGCCATTCTTCGGTCTTAGTGACCACTGATCCCTCCTGTTTAGCTAAGAACCAGGTTCCCGGTTTCACCCCAGGGCTTGTGGTTATCCCTTCTTTGGCTTCAACTCTGTTTGGGGATTGTCCTGATTGCCTGCTCTGCCCAGTTCGGGCCTTGCGTTACTACTTGGCCAGAACGGGGGGGGGGCGGGACACTTGTCTCGGCTGTTCCAGTCTCTCCAGCCCGGTCGCTCCGATATCTCTGCGGCGACCATCTTGCGCTGGATTGTTCAGACTATTCGTGCTGCGTATGAGTCTGCAGGGGATCAGTCCTTGCGGATGTCAGGAGTTAGGGCTCATGAGGTTTGCACTTTAGCTACTTTGTGGGCCTTATTTAATGGTTCTTCTTACGCTGAGGTCATGACAGCTGCTGTTTGGAGGGGTCATTCTACGTTCTATCTCCGATCTTTGTCGGGACAGTCTGACGGGTTGTATTCTTTGGGCCCTCTTGTGGCTGCCCAATCTGTTGCCTGTCCTCCCTCTTCTTTTGCATAACCCTCACCTCATTATGTCTTCTCCGCGTGATCCGGAACGCTGGTCGTAATCAGGCTCTGTGTCACAAAAGAAAAGGTATTTTTCCTCCGGGGGTATGGGTCCTATTGTTGGAACCTTTCATCGCTCCACGGAGACACCACTGCGGTCAGTCGAATTCGCATTATAATGACTGTGGTAACGTATTTTGAAATAGAATTGAGGTTTCTCTTGAGAAACCAATTTCTATTATAAATACTTACCACAGTCCTTAGGTGAGTTCCTCCCAGCCTCCCCTTGTCTCCTTGGCTCTCACTTTTTTGGGCTTTTTGGGGTTTTGGAATTATGAAGTGGGAAGCATGGCTTCGAGTCTGATCACGTGCGTGAATACTGCCGTCTGATTGATGGGTTTTCCAGGGGTTCCCCATGGGTGGGGGGCGTGAATTCTTTATTTACGTATGTAAAGAGCCAAGTAAGGTTGGAATATGCATTATAATGACTGTGGTAATGTATTTTGAAATAGAATTGTATCTATAGACAGGTTGTCAATAAAGCTGGATTCCTTACCTATACATGCATAGAGAGTTGGTATTTAAGGTAGGTTATTCTACCCTTAACCCATTCACCCCTGAAGTCGCATTTGAACCTTATCCAATCAAAGACTGGGCAAGTCCAGTTTAGATATGACTGTGGTAAGTATTTATAATAGAAACCTCAAATTTACTATATTTACTATCATCAATGTACTATGTTTCCTATATATCGTAATGACCTGTTTGTTCAGGGGGGTTTTCTGCTCTCTCGCAGGGTGTTTTTTATGCACAGCTTTGACAAATTTAAAGATCAGAGTTTGAACTGGGGTCTTAACAAAGTCTATGTACACACAGGAGCGAGTGATTTCTCGGAATCTCCACTTACGGGATTTGCTTACTGCTCCACTGTTGTTTGATGATATAAAAAATCTTTAATTTGATGTTAAAAGTTATTTGTATCACTTCTTTGTATATATTCCTCAAAATTACTTTGAGGACATAATTATGTTACATTACTAGAATTTATTGACAGGCAATCGGTTTAAAATCATAATCGATAATCGGTTTGTAATCGGATGTAGTCAACCGATCAATGATTGATTGCATAATCGGTTTATAATTTTATGGGACTGAACACCCAAATAAAGTGAGAGCACTAAAATTACATCAATAGACAGGGTTATTCACTATACATAAAGTTTCGTTCTTTAAAAATTAATGGTTATCAAGCAACATCTTTGATTTTTTTCAATCACATAGTACAAATCATAAAAATGTACGACTTTCAAAGCATACTTTACATGGAAGACATTTAAGACTTTGATTTCAATGATGAACCGATTATATCGATTATGGAATTTGTAATCGATAATCAGAGATTCTAATCGATCATTAGTCCATATCACTACTACAGATGTATTTCCTTTAAAAAAGAATTCCACACTATAAATCCTGTGAAATGATTTTGATAAATATTGATATATGGACTATGTATAAATGGTTATAATAAAAGTACACAGATATGTTACGAAATAATCCTAAAAATATTAAGGGAGATAACTCTAACACAGATCTCCAGTAAAACGTACAAGCGAGCTTGTTACCATAAACATCTATATATTGACAGGTATGGTATACCACGAAGACTGCTACTGTCCAGTGGCCAGTTTGGACAAGTGGTTGAAGGTCATGGGGTGCAGAAAGTCCTATACTCAGATAAAGGAAGATTTTGTCCCCTTTCCTAAAATCACTCCAGAGAAAGTAGCAAAGCAGGCCATTTCAAGGTTCAGCCAAGCCGGAATGCACAGTCTCAGTCACTACAGGATCATAGACAATAAGGTTACCTCCCTTTGTTATTTAGTCATATCCTTTTGTCCTTGCACAATGATACTACCATTCATTATGAAGCACTTAATGATGGACTGTTTTGATTTTCAACATACTTATGGCAAGTGCGATCAGGTTGATAGTATTTGTGACTTGTTTTAACCTAGTGCGATCCGGTTGATAGTATTTGTGACTTGTTTTAACCTAGATATATGTAATTCGTTATGAAAAATGGTTTCTTCTATAAAAGATCAATTATTGTTATAAGTCAGGTTCTGGGTTTGAATTTGGGTCTAACCTGTTGCATTATTATATTCTGTTACCAGTGGGCATGTATATAATATGTCGTTTACAGCCAATATTTGTTACATGTAGATTTTAAATTGAATAAAGCATGTCTTCATTTATAATGTAATTCAAATGTAATTTGTTCTCGAGATTTTCCATTACCTTTGAAAAAAGAATTTTTAATTTGAATTAAACTTTTAGTCTGTGCAAAAAGTTAAATTTTGACTTTTTTTTATTCTGGCAATTCAATTTTGAATATTTTCTCATGAATCTCATGAAAGGACATTTACCAAAAGTACAAATGTATGAACCTGTGTGTGTGTAAAATATCATGAAATAGCTTAATTATATTAAAGAAAGTAAAATAGCAATTTGTTTTATAAAGCTAATAACTTTATTTTTGAGAAATCAGGAGGCAGGACTTTGTCAGTCACTGGTGATCAGATAGTAGTGTTTAGGAATATTGTATTCAACCTAATAATCACACTTATATGGGCAAATGCACTCATTAAGTTTCATGCAGTATTAATTGTTCTACATAACATGAAATGTTCGTTGTGTACAAACATTCGTGGTTTTCGTGGCTGATATTGAACCACCAAATTAAATACAACGAATTTGAACGATATACGTGTCTACTGTTTGTTAATACAGGATAACCACGAAAGTTTGTACCACAAAACGATCTCAATGGCTTCAAAGCACGAAGGAAAGTATCCACGAACATTTCGTGTTATACAGTATCAGCAATTATTTATACATACCGCTATTAAAACTTCTAATGTCAACAGATCTACAGGAAGACTTACGGACAACATGTAGGATTCAAGATGTTCAGCGATGCCATTATACGTTCTATTACAAGGAAGGTATGTTTGCAATGGCTGTGTGTCAGGTTTTGTTCCTTTTGTTAAAGGTATCTTTTCAGAAGTGAATCATTCAACAAGAATTTTTTTTCCGCAAAATCAAGTTATCAATTGTAGAATCAGATGTACTAGAGGGGAACATTATACATTTATTGCCGTTACTGTTGGGATGCCCTCGAGAAACATGATTAACCTCGGAGAAACAAAGAACTGTGTTTCCCTACAGCAAAGGCAGTACAAATTTTATTATGCTGAACAAACAAAAACAATAACACAATAGTAGAAACGGTCAGGTTGATGTGCCGTTGTTGTCGTCCACTTTGTCATTCGGAACCAGGTTGTAATGGCTCTTGCAGATTTTTCTAGAGAGGCTCCGAATAAGGGAAATATGATTGGGGAACTTGAGTGTGTGAGGGTGACATGTTTTATTGCCTCGTCATGTGACCAGTATCATCCATCAGACAAGGTGTTATGAAAATGTGATATGACTAGGTTTACAATCTGTCCCGTACTTCAGCCAGTCCATGTTTCACTTTGTCAGGGGTATATCTCTACATCAGCCAGCCAGTCCATGTTTCACTTTGTCAGGGGTATATCTCTACAATAGCCAGTCCAGGTTTCACTTTGTCAGGGGTATATCTCTACAATAGCCAGTCCAGGTTTCACTTTGTCAGGGGTATATCTCTACAGCAGCCAGTCCTTGTTTCACTTTGTCAGGGGTATATCTCTCCATCAGCCAGTCCATGTTTCACTTTGTCAGGGGTGTATCTCTACAATAGCCAGTCCATGTTTCACTTTGTCAGGTGTATATCTCTACATCAGCCAGTCCTTGTTTCCCTTTGTCAGGGGTATATCTCTACATCAGCCAGCCAGTCCATGTTTCACTTTGTCAGGGGTATATCGCTACAATAGCCAGTCCATGTTTCACTTTGTCAGGGGTATACCTCTATATCAGCCAGTCCTTGTTTCACTTTGTCAGGGGTATATCTCTACATCAGCCAGCCAGTCCATGTTTCACTTTGTCAGGGGTATACCTCTATATCAGCCAGTCCTTGTTTCACTTTGTCAGGGGTATATCTCTACAATAGCCAGTCCAGGTTTCACTTTGTCAGGGGTATATCTCTACAGCAGCCAGTCCTTGTTTCACTTTGTCAGGGGTATATCTCTACAATAGCCAGTCCAGGTTTCACTTTGTCAGGGGTATATCTCTACAATAGCCAGCCCATGTTTCACTTTGTCAGGGGTATATCTCTATATCAGCCAGTCCTTGTTTCACTTTGTCAGGGGTATATCTCTCCATCAGCCAGTCCATGTTTCACTTTGTCAGGGGTATATCTCTACAATAGCCAGTCCATGTTTCACTTTGTCAGGGGTATATCTCTACATCAGCCAGTCCTTGTTTCACTTTGTCAGGGATATATCCCTACATCAGCCAGTCCATGTTTCACTTTGGCAGGGGGGTATCTCTACATCAGCCAGTCCATGTTTCCCTTTGTCGGGGGTATATCTCTACATCAGCCAGTCCATGTTTCACTTTGGCAGGGGTGTATCTCTACATCAGCCAGTCCATGTTTCACTTTGTCAGGGGTATATCTCGTACACTTCCTCACCTACATGTACAATTAACAAGTGTTGCATAAGGGTATTAGGGGTTGGTGGAGTGTCTGGTACTCAAATTTGGTTCTGTACCCCACTGTATTAGAGTTAGGACACTTGGTTACCAATGAATCAAGGATAAACGTGACACCATACTTTTATCGACATACAATTAAAGAGCAAACGTAGACCTATTATAAAGCCAATTGATACCACACATGTCCATCCGAGGTCTTGAAATAGCATATGTTTATAGTGTGAATGTGCTCATCCTCTTATTTTCACAATTAACTTGTTCACCCCTAGAGACACATTTGAACTCTTCTGATTCAAAGGTTGGAATAGTTCATTATGAAATTATGAATGGGTTAATTCTTTTGTGCTAAGTTCATTTGAAGAGCTATAATATGTGGCATTAATATTGCTTCCTATTTATTTTTTTGAAAGAAAGAATTGATTAATGATACAATGGTTAACTTAGTTGGAGGGTAACAGATGTTTTATTATAACTTAAATACAGACAGCTGTCTGACCGAGGGCTCAATACTTCCATCAATATAGCATTATTTTATCATATCTAGTCCACAATACTTCACCAGTGTCTTTAATAAAAATAAAACTTTTGGATTTCTCTCCCCCTTTCAGTGAATGAAGAGTTGTACAGGTTTTAAGGAAGCCCGTAAAATAAGGCTTACACTTGAAAAGCCCTGAAATTGACGAAAAGGCTCTAAAAAGCCCCTGAATTGAACAAAAATGCCTTGAAAGTAGCTTTAATTGTGACAAAATGATAATTAAACCATGATTGTAGATTAATTTTGGTTGTTTTGTGTTGCTATCCTTTATAGAAATAAATTCAGAATTGTCAGGTGAATGAAATATTTGTTTGGAGTAAATATTCTGTACGCTGACAAGTGTTAGACTTTAGTGTTGTTTAGTGTTTAGTGTTGTTTAGTGTTTGTAAGATGACTCCCAACATTTTCCAAATGATGTGAGATTTAAGGCTTTATTTTACTACAAAGGACTCAAAAAGGCCCTAGAAAAGTCTTGAATTTCATGGTGAAAATTCCTGAATGAACCCTGTAAATAAATAATGTAGACAAAAAATTGTGTTAAGGCTACCTGGCACATTTTACCTGTAATCGATGATGTAATTATCTCCCTTGTTTAACAGCTTTTAATGGGAGAAGGTGGGTGAAAAGTAAGGAAAAAGGATGGTTTTATATAAAATTAGACGGTGCTGGCGGTATGTTCAACCTCAGTTCTAGTCCACTACGATTTAACCGGAATGGCTTTAAACAGAAAGCTTGTTACTGTTGAAATATCCTAAACTTGAATATGTCATGATCACTTTGTATTTTGATCGTGACACATACATGCAGTGAGGACAGAAAGATAAAAATAGCATCTCATATATGACTTCACATAATAATAATATGATGTGAAACAATCGTTGTTGTATTTTTTAATATTTAAGACATGTTTTCATAATGTATAGTTAGTCTTTGTCTCTTGTATGTCTTGAAAAAAGAGGGTCTGACTTTATTTTGTCAAAATTATTTAGTGTTCTAGTAAAACATGTATGTAGATATACAGGTGAGTATGAGATAGAGGTGTCTGACACTTTGATGTATGTCTCTTCCACACACTTAAAGTTTTTGGCCATTCTTTGACTTTAATCACAAAAAAAAATCTTGACAAGTTTGTGTTATGCAGGTGCATCTACCCGATATGGAGTTCTTTGTGAACCTTGGAGATTGGCCGCTGGAGAAGAAGGCAGTCAGTGACTCGCCCATCCCTCTTTTGTCCTGGTGTGGATCCTCAGACTCCCGCGACATAGTCCTACCCACCTATGACATCACTGAGGCCACTTTGGAAATGATGTCAAGGTCAGTTTGATCGCAGGTTTATCATAACCATTCTATGTTTATGATGGAAACGCCAGGGTTATTTTATGTTACAGAAGAATATAGGGTATGGTCAAAATAGATTTTGACAATTAACTTGAAGAGGCAAGAAATAAAGTTTACAATTTCATCACATCATTGTACATGTTAACAATACAAAATGTTCTGCTCAGTCATAGCTTGACAAAGGGAACAAAAAAACTGCAACACGTTGAATAATACATTATGTATAATGTCTTGTTGCTCATTGAAGTCCCACACCCACCTGTATTTATGGGCCAAGATGGCATTCACGCCATTTCTTTCACATCAGTAAACAGCATAGAAATAAAATGTTTATTAAAAAACTTTTACCGATCCAGAAAACTAAAAATGGTTCAGACGATAGCCGAATGTATGTCACTGGGTTTCTATTGTGTCACGGACCATAAATGAAAACATAAAGTGAATGTCTGTGTAAAAAAAATAGAATCATGAAACCAATGGGATGATTGCTGGTATAGGAAATCTTCCACACAAAACAGGCTATCTATCTGGTATACCTCTTATCAAAGAAATTAACAATGTGGGTTTTTATTATCTGGTCTCATTTTGGAGAACATAGATCTAATGAGATTAAAAAAAAAATAAAAAAAATCTTCATATAAATTGCATATTTACATAGTTTGTCATAGCTATCTTGGGAATTGAGGGCTTTAAGGTAAAGGAGTCAAATTGGCTGTTTTGCTTTAAAAGTCATCTCCCCAAATATGGGGCAGATTACAATAAAAGATTAGGGATAATATGCTCATAGGGCTATCAAAAGGGATTAAAATTGAGCGATTTAAGACCGATGGACCACTTGTTCTAGAAAAATTGTGTTTACTGGGATACAACCACTTTAGCCATGAAAATCAAGATATATTAGTGATATAGTAAAACAGCATATTTTTTTTTTTCAAAAATATAATTATATACAGTAAATAATCGCTGACATGTAAGAAAATCAATGTTGTTTTATATTAACATGTTTGGCTACCCTGGTGTGCATTCTTTGTTCAATATATATATGTTTCGGCTTTGTTGTGGTTACCAGTTTGATTAGAGTGTAGTCTAGACGGAATGGACAACGACTTGATTATCGAATAACAGATTGTTTTCATCACGATAGCATAATGAATGTTTTATGATGCAGTAGCCCATTCGCACAGAAACGTGAGGAACATAATTATCAAATTACCCTGGGAGTTCTTTTATCCTCAACATATCATTTTGCAATTATACCTCCATCAAGTTTTAACTGACCAAATCAATAAAAGTAATGTTAGGTTGATTTCTAAACTCTCTTTTGAGAAAGTACAGGATCCAGTTTTTAGCTCACCTGGTCCGAAGGACCAAGGCTTGTGAGCTTATGCCATACTGTGGCGTCCGTCCATCGTCCGTCCGTCCATCAACAATTTCTTTAAACGACTTCCTTCTCCTTAACCACTGATTGGAATTTAACTAAATTTGACTGGAGGCATCCCTAGGTGGTGAGGATTCAAAACTGTACACATAGTTTGGCTGACCCCCGCAGGAGCTGAGGGTCAGGGCCAAAAGGGGGCAATTTGGCTATATTGCTTTAAGCGACTTCTTCTCTGGAACTAAGTGATGGAAACCATATTTGACTGGAAGCATCCCTAGGTGTTGGGGATTCAAAATTATACAAATGGTTGGGCTGACCCCCCAGGTGCTGAGTGGCGGGGCCAAATAGTGGCTATATTGCTACAAACGACTTCTCCTCTAAAACTATGCACTGGATATCAATTATATTTGATCAAAAGCATTCATGGGAGGCAGGGATTCAAAATTGTACAAATAGTGGGGCTGACCCCCTGGGCTAAGGGATGGGGCCAAAAACAGTTTATAACTTGGAAAAGCTTGGCAAAAAGAGGCGAATGCAGTTATGATATTAGAATTGATCCTGGTGTCTGGTCACAACCCTAGGGACCTAGTTTCTGAGTCAAAGCTTAGAAACAGTTGAGATCCCAAACCCATAACCATACATTAAATTGCTGGGCATGAAAAATCTAATACAGATTTGCCATGATTGCTTAGACATCCAGGTGAGCGATACAGGCCCTCTGGGCCTCTTGCTAAGCTTGACTGGCTGATATATCAAGTCATATGTGTGATCTGGTGGCGCAGTGGATACCGCACTCACCTTTCACCAAGGCCGGAGTTTGATTCCCCGATTGGATGTGACCACATGGGTACTTTGGTTTCCTCTCACATTAATTAAGACCCCTTGCGCGCTAACAACGGGGCCAACAGGAGTGATTGATATCCGGGAAACATCCTGTTTCATTATTGTTGTAAAATAAATAAAGTTTAATCAAGACATATGTTCAACCTTAATATTTTTCAAAAAATTATACATAATCATATTTTAGTGGTTTTGTGTATAATTATATTATCCCCTAACATGCATATTTTGTGTTTTGCATGATTTTAGTAATTACATAAATATCATTGATTTATATATCATGAAGCTGTTGATACTTTATACATTTGATTGAAGGTTTGATTCATACTCGGAACAATTAATGAACATATTTTCTCAGTATTTAACGATAGTAATATGATATTTGATTTAGGATAACCATTTCTCCCACACCTGACAGATTTATCTCCCGTTTTGCCGGTGCTAGATTTATCTGTCTCCGCCCTAGGGTTGAGACGGGGGGATTCCCCTATTCATAACAATGGCATGACGTCACTTCAACAATACAATGACGTCACGTCAACAATCCATCAACAAATTGCCTGTATGTGTTTTGGGTCCATGTTTACCTTTATTTCACATTAAAATACTGTTAGATATGGGAGAAAAATAATCAATCGCTACTGGTTGTGTACGATAGAGAAATCTCAACCCTCGGACTAAGATTTTTTGTCCAGAAATCGGCAAGCCTCGTTCTGGACAAAAAATCTTAGTCCTCGGCTTGAGATTTCTCTATCTTACACAACCAGTAGCGATAGATTCTATTAGTAATACTTTTAGCTCACCTGGCCATGTGAGCTTATGACGTACTGCTGCATCTGTCGTCCATCCGTCAACTTTTTCTTTTGAACGACTTCTTCTGAAGAACTGGAGGACCTAGGGTCATGATATTTGGCCAGTAGGTACCTGGGATGGAATGCTATAAATTTTCCTCATTGAAATGACTTTGACCAACTTTCAAGGTCACTGGGGTCAAATATGTTATTACAGGAATGAGGTCAAAGGTCAACTTTAAGTGCAAGTCGGGAGTCAAAGGTCAATGTGGGTTAAAAGCTTTAAATTAAAATTTCAAACAACAATATCTTCATAACCATTTAAGAGATGTTAAAATATCTTGTGTTCTAGTTACCAAATTTGGTCTTAAGTTACCTATATGTCAGTTTCATGTAACAAAAGAAACAGGTGAGCGATACAGGCCCTCTGGGCCTCTTGTTAAGTATTTCACAGTAACAGTATAATGTTCTATTTATCCTGTTTAATGTATCAAAACTTATCATAACATATGTATTAATCTCTGAAACCTCCAATGAGGGAGGTCTCTCTCATTCCACATTTCCAAAGGAAGTGAGTGAAATTAATTGTACTTAATGTTACAGAGTTACCCCACAGTAGGACATTCTGTTTATCATACTTAATGTTACAGAGTTACCCCACCGTAGGACATTTTGTTTATCATACTTAATGTTACAGAGTTACCCCACAGTAGGACATTTTGTTTATCATACTTAATGTTACAGAGTTACCCCACTGTAAGACATTCTGTTTATCATACTTAATGTTACAGAGCTACCCCACAGTAGGACATTCTGTTTATCATACTTCATGTTTCAGAGTTACCCTGGATATCTTCTCAGTACAGGGAAACACTGGTGTGGCTTGGGATAACAAAACAAATCAGGCATTTTGGAGGGGCCGAGACAGTCGCCAGGAGCGGCTAGACCTTGTCCAATTATCTCGTCGTAAACCAAAACTCCTGGATGCAGCCCTCACACACATGTTTTTCTTCCCCAAGGATGACAATAAATATGGCCCTCTTGTCAAAACCATTCCATTCTTTGATTTTTTTAAGGTAAGTAAACAACAATAAAAGCACTTGTCAAATTTAAAGTTCAGTTTGTACGGTAAGATGGAAAATTGCCATCCCCACAATCTTTGTCAAATTATGTTTTAAAGGTTTATTAGAGTAAAACATTTTTATGAAGGGATATTACGGTTGTTGATAATTGATAATTAAAGTTGAAACTAGGTCTGTCAGTAAATACTAAATTTTGGATTGTCATCAGCTTTCAGTTTAATTAAGAAGTGATAAGAAACCTGATGTGTGTGTTGACAGTTTCACTCAACATGATCGCTCATGTGTGAACACAGTCATAAGGTAGTCACTCATGAATGAACAGTCAATAGCAGTGCTTAGCGGTGAAAGGAATGCTGACATATTTGTGATAGCTATAATCACGACACATAACACATGTCATCTCAACTATGATATGATGTATATACTTGCGTACCATCATGAAATGGTTTTATTAAAAGGTATAGTGTAGATGTGTATGACTGTAACTTTGTAATCTCTAATCTGGGAGAGTTCCACACTGAGAAACATGAAAAGGGGGCATGCCCACTTAAACATTTCAGTGGCCCATAACTGATAAGCTTGAATATTTGCTGAAATAAAGTCTAGCATCAAGTCATGAAGAAAATTTTGGTTTCTTTTTTGGATCAGTCAGTCACTGCATAGAAAAATAATGGGGTGATGTTGAAAAAAGGGTGAAATACAGTATTTTGTTTAGGTAATTATACCCCCTGCAACGTAGTTGGGAGGGGCCCCCGGGGTATACCGGAATCACCCTCTCTGTCTGTCTGTCGTCCCCAGTAACTTGTCCGGAAAACTCCATCTTAACTAGAGGGTAGATTTTATTGAAACTTCATATGAATGATCAGTATATTATGTAGTTGTGCACCAGCATTTTAATTTCATATTTCACTTGACGGAAGTATTATGGTATGGGGTCGTCTGTCCGGTGTAAACTTTTGTTTGTCCTGCAATCTTCTCCTACATATTTCGACCGATCTCTTTGAAACTTGGTATACATTATAATCATGATATGAAGTTGTGTCTCATTTAAAAGAAATTTGATTCATCAATTTTTGCAAAAGTTATTGCCCTTTGTTTATTTCAGTATTTGATTTTTGTCCGGCAATCTTTTCCTACATTTTTCAATGGATTTCTATGAAACTTGGTATACATTATAATCATGATATGAAGTTGTGTCTCCCTTATAAGAATTTTAATTCAATGATTTTTTCAAAACTGATTGCGCTTTGTTCATTTCAGTATTTGATTTTTTGTCCAGAGATTTCTTCTACTTTTTTTATAGCATCTCAGCTAACCACTCTTAGAATGATGCAGATCTTATTTCAATGCAAGAAAGTATATAACACTATATGGCATTCGACGGGCGTATATTGTTCTGCCCCGCAGTACTTCTTGTTAAGAGAATTACAGTCCTTTATGCATAATAACTTGTATGGAAAACTCACTCTACTGACTTTAATTTTGTATGTACATGTATATTGATGATACTTTGTCTATAGGTAAAGAACCAAAATATCTCTAACAAGTTCCCATTTCAGTAAATTGACCCCAAGGTCAAGGTCACTAAATGCTGTATAAACTACAAGCATCTGCAGTGGGTATTAGTTATCCTCTGGATGATAGTTCTAGTTATAGAATAATTGGACCTCATATTTTATCTCACATGATTGCTCTTGTGAGTTTTTCACACATGTCTACATATGTCACATCATATGCTCTGCGACTTGTCATGCATTGTCAAATGTGCAGTAACAATTTACGTTTTTTGACTACTTCTTTAGAAGCACTTAACTGGTTGAAATAATACTTGGCACAAATAGGTCCTTATAAATTATGTTGTCTCGGCCAATTCGGATATTTTTCCTGTTGATCCAAAAATCCAAGATGACCAACATGGCTCTTGATTGGCAGAAGCATTTTCAACTTCTTCACAAGAATGGCTGCAGCGATTGACTTCAAACTTGGTAGAAATGTTCCTTATGAGGTTCCAAACAAGTGTTGTTACTTTTTATGCCAATCTGGCTGCCCTATCATCTGATTGGCTGAGATATAGTCAATTTTTCTCAGGAACAACTGCACTGATTGACTGCAAATTGGTACAAATGTTCCTTAATAATTTGTCCCAAATAAGCTGTGTTCTTACTTTTCATTTAACTTTCCAAGAAAGAAATGGAGATAAGTTACATTACGGATATAATTTGTATTTATGTCTCTAAGTGTTAATTTAGTGACTACATTTTATTACCCGGTAGGATACATTACTATGCCCAATACTAGTGCATGTATGTTGATATTTTATGAAAAATACTGTGTATTGTGTTTGAACTGGACATACACGGGGTCACATAATTTGGTCAATTTCGGAGAATTCCAGATTAGAGATCATTTATTTATTATACCTGTTGTATTGTCAGAACCAAACGTTTTGGTCTGTTTAGGCAAAAATCCAGATTGGACAGAATATTGAATAGAACCTGTGTTTAGAGACCACCAGCTTTAAAAGACCAGTGCCTGCATTCATGAACTGCTTAAGCATGGATTTTGTGCTCAAGCCTAATTTTTTATTTCCTTTATGAATAAGTTATAAAATCTTATTTTGTCAATGATTTGAAAAAAAGGATGAGACTTAAAGCCAAATACTGTTGTCAATGTTTAGATTCGACTTTTTGATTTTTGTACATGATTTAAGTGAGTTACAAATAAGTAGTTTGAGCACAAAGTCCATGCTTGAGCGTGAATATGGTGTCATGAATACGGGTCCAGTTTAAATTTGTTCAATTATAATGATTTTATTTTCAATGGAACCTTTATTTAGTGACAATTCAGCTACTTTTAGAGACTTTTTTTTAGACTTCACTTGGGTGGTCCCTTATTACAGATGTTTACTGCAATACCTACACTTCAGCACTACTTCTTGTTTTATAACAGTACAAGTTCCAGATCAACATCGACGGTACTGTGGCAGCGTACAGACTGCCCTACCTACTCGTTGGGGGCTCCATGGTGATGAAGCATGAATCCAATTATTACGAACACTTTTACCGTGACCTGGTACCCTGGCGGCACTATGTGCCCTTCCAACTTGACCTTGGTGATCTTGAAAGACGCATACAGTGGGCGAAAGAGAATGANGGGGGGGGGGGGGGGGGGGGGGGGGGGGGGGGGGGGATGAGTCATTTGCTGTATTGATTGAAATTGAAACAATTAAAACTGATACCTTATAACAATGAGAAGAGATAACTGTATGGGTATACATTCCTTTTTTATTTCACATCTTTATTTTTATGCTTCGTTTTGTGGGAAAACAAAGTTTTTCTCATATCTAGTATTATATATTAGTTATTGTGAAATTTCAATTTGATTTTGATTTTGACTATTTTCATGGGAGTTATGCACTTTGCTCAACTTTTTATATGGGAGCAGGAGATAATAAGTTTGCCTGTTGCTTACAATTCTAAATATGCTTGAATAAATGCTCATATAACGTTTAAGTTCATGATCAACTGTCCTAGCAAGTTATCACAAAAAACAAATATTGCAAAGACAGCTACAGACAATGAGAAATATGAAACTTTTGTAATAATTTAAATATTTCTTCTTTCAGGTGAAGAATATATCGATGAATGCAAGAAAATTTGTGAGGGAAACTATTTTGCCAAAAGATATATTTTGTTATCATGCTAAAGTTTTCCAGGTGAGTATGTTTCACTTAAGGTGCGTCATGGCAGGCTGAAACATTGTTTGTCAGTATCAGTCTGTCTATCCATCCAACGATGAAAGGTTTTTAAACTCCGATAACTCTTATATAATGGCGGAAATTTCTCTAAACAAAATGGAAATAAATGTTACACAATTGTCTGTTTAATTATTTCCCCCACATAGCAGTGTGGGTTGGATTTACATTTGATTTTTTGCCAATTTTATTAAGAGTTATGTCCCTTCCTTGGTATCCATTTTAACGTTTTGTCCATAGCAATGCTACTTTCCTTCAAGACCAAAATTTATGAAACTTGGTACACTATTAGTTATCTCTGGGTTAGGAGGGGTCTACAGGCTCATAGACCCCGTCTGGTTTTTATAGACCCTAAGCCGAAGGCGAGGGGTCTATAAAAACCAAAGGGGTCTATGAGCCAGTAGACCCTCCTAACCCAGAGATAATGAATTCACCACCCTGACAATCTTTTATTCCTTTTTTTCTGCAAAGTTTTAAGTCACTTTGTGAGTTTGAGTTATACTTGACTGCTACCAAAATAGCCCTTACCGGCTTTCCAGACACCTTTTCGGCAATATTTCGGACAATGCATACAATGTAACCATCTTTGTAATTAGCACCCTTGTGGCCGGCCCCCTCATTGCCTGTTTCTTTGACTTTGCTTTCAATTTAGTAGGCTATTTTATCCTGTGAATGATTGGCACAACTTGAACGCTTGTGTGAGTTGGACGCCATCTTTGTTGTTATGAAGAGATATTCTAGTTTGAGCTATCTCCCCTCGCAAATGCTTTTATAGACCCCGGCAGAGCGGGGTCAATAGAAATATAGACCCCGGCAAGATATCCAATCAGAAAGAGTGTTACATATTAGAAGGGTGACAAATGTTTGATATCATAAGTTATTTTGAAATTTCAATTTGATTTTGATTTTGACTATTTTCATGGGAGTTATGCCTCATTGCTCAACTTTTTATATGGGAGCAGGAGAAAATTAGTTGGCTTGTTGCTTACAATTCTAAATATGCTTGAATAAATGCTCATATAATGTATAAGTTTATGATCAACTGTCCTAGCAAGTTATCACAAAAAACAAATATTGCTTGAAGCAGAAGTGATTGAGAATAACTGTATCCCAGCTTCCTATTTATTCATGGCTTGACTAATTATATATGTATGTGATTCTATGTAGGAATATGCCAAGAGATTGACTGACCCCCCACAGGAACCTGACAGTAGCTGGGATACAGTAGACCAACCTACCGGAGGCTGTGACTGTAAGAGGACTAAACCTGTAAAGGTGAGTCGGGATCGGGGGGTTCTTGTCAAAATAATCAAATAATCAAAGAACATGTATATAACAACAGTACACTAGAATCTTGTACAAATGCATAACTTGTTCTATTTGATTTTATGGAAGTTGGAGTCTTTTTGGCGGTTTCCATCTCTCTGTGACCCCTACTTTTAAATACTGATTGCTGTGTTTCTCTGTCTGTCTTGCATATTTCTTGTTAGTTTCTTTATTACATCCACTCCTTAGGGAGTTATGGCCCTTTAAACTTCAATTTCTTCTCGAAAAACCATGTAAAGAAAACTCCTCCAAGACTATTTATTGGATTTTTAGTAAACAATTTACGTTTTCGACTTCTTCTTCAAAACCCCTGAACCAATTTTTATTTCACTACGTGATCAGTTTTCTGAGCTTGCCATTCTGACTAGAGATGGTATATATAGCTGGTCCCTATCATGTTATCCTACGTTTATCTTCCTCTTTAAAATCTTTCTTCAGCATTAAATTCTAATTCTATGTAGCATTGAATTACTTTAAATAACAGTTGAATCAATATCTTAACAGATAACAGGAAGCATCAAAATAATCAAATAATCAAAGTATATAACAGTACTAGAATCTAACTTGTTCTATTTGATTTTATGGAAGTTGGAGCCTTTCGGCGGTTTCCATCTTTCTGTGACCCCTACTTTTAAATACTGATTGCTGTTTCTTTATCTGTCTTGCAATTTCTTGTTAGTTTCTTTATTACATCCCCTCCTTAGGGAGTTATGGCCCTTAAAACTTCTCGACAAAACCATGTAAAGAAAACTCCTCCAAGACTATTTATAGGATTTTTAAGTCTCAAGTGACCCATTGCAATCGCCTTTTGTCCTGCATCGTCCGTCCGTAAACAATTTATGTTTTCGACTTCTTCTCCAAAACCCCTAAACCAATTTCAATGAAATTTTGCAGAAACCTTCCATGGACAAAGGTGAACCAACAGTGTGAATTATATGGTCCCCAGCCCCCAGGGGCTTGAGGGGCGGGGCCAAAAAGGGTCAAATTGACTAAAATTTCAAAAATCTTTCTTCTCAAGAACAGATATGGTAGAATCAAATACTCTTCATAGATGGAAGGGTCTTAAGGTGTTTTACCATAATTCAGCTGACTGACAGAACCACTATTTGTACATAGTACATATACTACCCAGACCTTTCAAACAAGTTTTGCATTACATGTAGTTCAAGTTACCTTGGTTACAAAATGATTTCTTTTTCATTTGGCAACATCAATAACATCAGTTTTTACTTAACTCAGGTGACCGTTAAGGCCCATGGGCCTCTTGTTTCATAGCTTAACACAGTGAAAAAGCAGGATATGCAGATGCCCATGAAGACAGAAATGTGTGATTCAACTATTTTTCTTGGGAGTTATAGCCCTTGAAACTGTAATTTCTTCTGCAGAAACTTGGTAATGACAACTTCCCGCAAACTATTTGTTAGAGTTTTTCGTAACCTAGCACAGTGTGAGTGCATATGTGTATGAAGAAAGGGATTTGTGATTCAATTATTTTTCCTTGAGTTATGGCCCTTGAAACTGTAATTACATCCCGAGAAACCATGAAAGCACATATTTCATAACCTAGCACAGTGAAAGAACATGATATGCATATATCTATGGAGAAAGGACTTTATGAAACATCATATGTAGATACCTGTTTGAATGAAGATTGGGGTTTGTGATCTGGGTATTATTCCCCCTGTAAATAAAATTTGATTCAGTACTCAAAATTGTTTTCATGGTGTGTTTTTTTAATTTTCAGAAATCCAAAGAAGAATTGTGATGCCTGGCACCATGGATATCCAGTCATCTCCATTACATATGCAGCATCCATTCTGATGCTGTGAATCATATAGGTTCTTGCAAAATCATATTTTCACACTTTGCATCAAATATGTATGTAAGTTTATCATTACGTCTGAGCAAAATGATTGACAGAATGTTAAAACGAATGTGGGTCAATAGTTAACTATTTTTTATTTATTTAGAATTGCTCTATGCAATTATCAGTGGGTGTTAGCTATAGATAGTGACACAGGTGTAGTGTTTATTTTGTATTCGTAATCCTTAATTTAGAAATTGCTTGCCAATGTTCTAATTGAAACACTGCAGATTTGTTTCAGATGCAGCATTAGAAAAGTTGGAACTCCATACTGGATTGTTTCTGTTTTAGTGGGAACAGTTTCTGTTTAAGTGGGAACAGTTTCTGTTTAAGTGGGAACAGTTTGTTTGTAATGCATTAAGGTGGTGACACTGTGTAGTGATGAAACGCTATTTTTATCTTCAGAGGGCCTATCTTTTCATTGATCAATAAATCTTATATTAAATATAGTATATCTATCTCCAGAATTTGCAGTATCCAAAAGCCTGCGCTTTTTAATAACCAGGAAAAGCATTTTGTGTAATTCATAAAAAAAAACAAAACAAAAAACAAAAAACATTACCATACAGTAAACCTGTGATTTGTGTTTGAGTTCTGAATTTAAAATAATTAATCTGTTATAATTTTTTGTTGTTACTAAATATGGAAATTTGTTTTCTAAAAGAGGTCTTAGTGTACGCATAAAACATTTCTTCTCTCATATAAGTGTTTAGAAACATATTTTGTTGATTCCTCTTTGGTAAAAAGAAGATTTTGATACCGGCAATAAGTGTGCTTAAGCTTAAAGAGGTCAAAAGGTTACACATGTTGAGGTGCTATATTAGAATACTAGTTCATTGTTTATTTTTACTTTAGTTGATATTAGTTGTTATATGACATTTATTATTACAGTATAATCCTATGCAAATTATATAAAATTATTTAAGTGTTGGTATTACATATATATATTTTTGTTAAGCTTTGATTGTTGTAGTAGTATTTCAGCTTCCTTGGCCTGATTGGGCCTCGGTGACCTTATGCGATGCTGCGGAGTTCGTTGTCTATCCTTCCACTGTCATCCAGTCTTTTACACTGTCAATTTTCTTATTTTTATTCACAACAACTTTTCAATGCCTGCAAACAGTAGAAAAATTATCAGACTTGATCATAACAGATCATTCATCCTAGCCAGAATCATGATATTTGGGCCGTAGCTTCCGACTTGTTGAATTTGATCAAAGAAACCAAAAAAAAGTAATCGACCAATTTCTATTTAAGCTTTGACAAGAATATTGAATAGCATTACATCCCAACACATGATCAGGTGAGCTGTATACGGTCCCCGCAGTCCTCTTGTTTAATGTGCCATGTCAATTTTTTATGGAATATACTGGTTATTTGTAATATGGTAGATGCAATGCAAACCTTTACAAGTGAAAAGTTTGTGGTTGAATTTATTTGACAGATATTTAAATTTTTATATCTAGTCCTAGTTTGCAGTCTTTTGAGTTTCTCTGATATTACAACATTGTATGTAAATTACGATTTTGAGAAGAAGAAAAAGTATCGGGGTTTAACTTGTTCATACATGATGACGTTGATGTGTAATAGCTTTTAATGGAATTTGAGGGATAAATACTGCCTTACTGGCAAGCTAGGGATGCAGTATAATCCGGGGACCCGCTCACAAGTTTATCAATGTCGAGCATGGTCAGGAGCGGGATGGGTGACTGCCTGCACATTACATTTGGTGGCAGCGCAAGGACTGTTGATCATGTAAGGCCAGTTCCCGCTGGTAAGGTAATGCATTGCTATAAAGGGAGATCTGCTGCCTTACTGGCAGCTATCTTTGCCAGCAATGGAGTATTAACAGTGGGGTTAAAACCACGGACCTGGTGCTCACTATTACAGCAACGTTGAGCGTTGTCAGTAGCTGGATGGGTGACCGCCCGCACGTTACAGTTGAAACAAAAACACACATTTACTAGTAAACTGAAAAGTTTTCATATACCAATATATATTATAAGGTATTTAAAAGCAGCTAAGTATTTTTATACATGAAATATTTGAACTTGAGTAGATCCTTCCATATTCTGGGTGGTCATGAAAAGTTTACCTGGAGCCTGTTTTCTGAGCTTGCCATTCTGCCTAGAGATGGTATATATAGCTGGTCCCTATCATGTTATCCTGGATTGAAATTTTAAATGTTTATCTTCCTCTTCAAAATCTTTCTTCAGCATTAAATTCTAAATTTTATGTAGCATTGAATTACTTTACTAAATAACAGTTGAATCAATATCTTAACAGATAACAGGCATCATCACTGTATCTAAATCGCATCTGTGCTGGTAGGTATTTTTCTATTTGTCTTGATATTAACCAATAGATATCCCTGTAAAGGTCAAAGGTCAGTGTGTCTGGGGAGTTTGTTCAAAAACTGATACATGGGACTGTTAATTGTAATATTTTCACCCTCACTAAACAGTGTTGAATTTATCCTCGCTTTTTAGGGGTATTTTAAACTGTACCCATTGTGTGACCAGAATGTTCACCGCATGTTAAATTTGACATTTTGTTCAAAGGCCAACAATGGGGGTGAACATTTTCCGTTTTTTGAAAAAAAATCTTAAAAAGGCTTACAAATGGATATTATTAAAATGGATATTACTACTGATCTTGGGCAAAAGTAGGGTTTATGTTATCAGTGATATTTTGTATTGAAATAAATTTCATCCCGTTAAGGATTGGGTTCTACAAAAGTGAAGTTCCTTTTCTTGTCTAGTCGAAATTGTTTGTGTATCCAAGCTAATTTAGACAAATATGTTCCATTATGCTTTATTCCACCATATTTTGTAGGCTAAAACCTGTCTCGGAAAACGCTTCGATAAACCTCAGCTTTAATTGGATTTTTTTTTATCCAGAATCACAAATCCTCAAATTGAATTATCTTTACCTTCGATAGACCTCGGCTTTAATAAGAAAAAAAATATGGGGATAAAAAATCCTGGGATTGCTTCAGCTTTACCCCATCCTCAATGATCTAGTGTTTACACACTTACATTCTCTGAACCCCTGGAATATGTGACGAAATGAAAGGCTTCGTGCGTACCACCTTTTGGATGATACAAGAAGACTATAGTTTGACTCTGTGATGCTACAAGAAGACTATAGTTTGACTCTGTGATGCATATCAGAAGAATTGTGCAGCAAACCTTCCAGTTACATTGACGTGACTTTGAAGTCTGATGATCCTCCTCCGTTATCTTTAAAAGACGGGTATCAGCCTTGCGATTGGTTAGTTGTTTTTTACCCGAAACTAAGCAGATAGCTAACATTCGTATTCCAGGGAGGCAGAGAATGCGAGTGAGCGTAACCCCAGGAATTTAGACGATGGTTTTACCCGTACTAGAATTGTCTTGTTATTTCCTTGTCTAAGACATGTTGTGTATATTAAACTATTTTAGTGGCGTTATTTATAGACAGGTTACACTTCAGTGTAATTTTGTTTTTCATTATTCTATTGGAGGCCTTTATATATCCTTCTATTGTTATCTCTTTCCTTGTAAGATGTATGAAAATATCTTAACAAGCAGTTTCTTTATAATTTCTACACACAACCATACCTGCCAAATGACCGGCATTTTGCGGATCATACTCGCAATATTAACCCATCACCTGCGACCATATTATGACCTGCATGGGTCACACAAAAATCTACCACATTTTGTCAACCTGACCTGGAATGACCCACCTCCACGCTTTTAATAATATCTCCCTACTTCCTAAAGTGTTCCATTTGTGTGACTCGAAAGTTGTGACAACAGGTATACCATGTAGTTGTGTACCTCACATTTCTTTTTGAAAAGTTCTTTATTACTCAAAAATACTTGCTACTGTAGCAAATACATTGTATTTGGGGATTTTTTCTTAACTTTGAATAAAGCATGTGGAAATTAGGAGTGGATGCTGGCAGTTGGCACCTGTTTTGTCGATAATCTCTACTCGAAAGAAAACAAAACAGTAATTTTAATTCATAATTAAAATTTTCTTTAATGTTTTTTTACTATACATTTAATTTTTTGTTATTATATACAGGGTATAATAAATTACGAATTCCCTCTAGTATCTTACATATTGGCCCGTAAACTTCCAGACACATAGTTCAACATTCACTCTCGACGCAGATTCAAACTGGTCACACACTCGACCCATTTGTTCTCTATCAAACAGGATGGAAGATGAAAATAAAATTGACTCGAGGTCAACTGAAAATGAAACGTACATATAGTCTATTTATGACGATGACGCCCAAATTAATGATGAACAAGATGAAATTTAATTGATAATGAAAATGAAGTGTTGTTGAAGATGCGATGCCTGGCGACTTCTTTTGACATCGCAGTCTTCCAACGTAAAATGAGGAATGACATACTCTCTCTTCAAACACCCTGAACGAAATAAACACTTCGCAATGAGTATCATACACAAGGTACAAGACAGAACCGTTCAAACTGACATACACTGGTTATCACGATGTAGGAAATCCATTCCGTCACTTGGGCCATTACCTCACAAAAACTACAGGAAAGCAAATATTACCCAGCAATTTTTTTTTTTTTGAGACAATAATATCATTTGTGCATATTTTTCATAAAAAGACTTTTTACAGGAGCCAACTTAACTAGGTGAAAACAATTTCATCATTTACATGCAACTATAAATGAATGGATGACTGATATTTCAATTCTCCAAATTGGGGTGATTTTTTTTATAAAAATGTGATATCTGTACTTTTTTCCAGAATTGTCTCACTAAAATAACCTAATGGTAACGCTTGCCACTTTTAACAAGTATTTTAACAATAATGCACTTTGCAAGTTTTCCCTTTAAACAGCGAAAAAAAGGAAGAAATGGTGAGTGCGAAATCTGTATCAAAATTTTATATTAAATATCTCTCTCACAATCACAACACAAGCTCCCGGCGCTACTGGAGCGCAGTACACACTGGACGTCACGTCGACGAGGTTGATGTCCACAAAAACAATGCCACAGTTTATAAAGTCGTACAAGGAGTCCCAGGACATGGACAAAACTCAAACTTACACACATAGATATTTTACACACATAAATAGATATTTATATATCAAACCTTTGAGGTGTAAAAAGACATGCATACACATCATAAATTGTCTGAATATCAACATGCAGTATAACAGTCTTTCATGAAAATTTAAGGATATTTTTTCTAAGTTACAAGGGTCGCCATAACTATAAGCATCCATTGGTACACCAAATGTAATGTATGGTGATGAGATGATGATCGATTATAATCGAAAATCGATCGGTTTGACCTTTCCGATTCCGATTATAAATTGCATTATCGATATAAAAGGTTCTTCATCGACATCAAAGTTAAATGTTTTCAATATAAAAATGTATTACATTCTTATGACTTTTACTATATGATCGACAAAACTGCATAAAAATGTCTTGAAATCCATTCATTATAAGGGTGAAACCTAGTGTATAGTGAACAACTCTGTATGTTGATGTAATAGTAGTGTTCTCGCTTTATTTGGGTTTTCAGTCCCATAAAATGATGAAGCTATTGTGCCATTGATCATCGTTCGGTTTACTACTTCTGATTACAAACCGATTATCGATTATAATTTTAAACTGATTGCCCATCACTAATAGTATGGATCTAAAATCAAACATTTTAATTAACTATTTCATACATTTATGTTTCCATTGAAATATCAAACAATAGCTTTGTTTGACATTAGTAGTCCGAGTGTTTTGTAAGGAAAATCAGAAGAATTCTTGATACATAGAAAGCTTGGACCAATTGTCAGATGATAAATACAACCTGGTAGATTAAGAAGGTCTACTTGAAACAAAGTGATCAAACTTGGTAAGTTTTACAAATGAAAACCACCTCAAATTTATGTGTTTCTAGTTTGGGGAAATATTCAACCATTCAAATTAAATTATTCTAAATGGATTAGAAAAATGGCTTTAGCAAAATCACCTTTTGCTTTGGTCAGTAGGAACATTTATCGTCTAGGTTCGCTATACTTGATCCTGGTTTTATTGAAGATCGCTCCTGTATCACACACTTTGTGTACATGTGGTAAGTGGTTTCAAGTGTATTTCAACTATTATATGTACAATATATATATTAAGTGTTGAGATTTTGTTTTCTTTTATGAAAACCTAGCATCACAATTTCTCAAAACCATATTTTTTAACTGGCCCTTCTATATGAAAAGGACACTTTAATGGGAAAAAAAGATCAATTGTTTCGTTCATATTCTACAAGAACTGGATTCACGTTTCTACCCAGTATGTGTCATTATAATATTCTCTAAAACAAACATACAATTTTTCTAATTCCTCACCAGGAGAACTTCATGAAATCTTTTTCTTTTTGTTACTTTTTGTGCACATGGATTTGACATTTCACACATATGAATCAAGAAGGCAGTCATATCTATCTCCTCTATAAAACATGCTTGACCTAGCTCCATGAAACAATTTCAACGCTTTAAAAAAAAAGTTAACAAGATGATTAGACAATTCAATGACTTGCATATCATTTTGTGGGGAAAATCTATTTCTCAAAGAACACATGTATACCTACATATTTAAATCGTCAATCATCGAACAATTTTTACATATAATACAACTTACAGGTTACAAACACATACACATTCATTTCAGAGAAAATACACAGGAAAGACACAACATATGAATGCATGCTTATCGAATCCAAGTCATGTAAATAAATGAACAAATTTTTATAAACCATCGATGTTTTGTTACTGTAAATATGAACATTTTCATGGTGTGAAAATTTCAATTTGCATTAATTTGAATTCAAATCGGCATGAATGTTTGCTAACGTATGTATAAAACCTATTTCATTGGTGTGTATATATACCCTGGGCACATTGAAATCCATTAACTTCACTATATATGGTGAAAACTAGCCTCTAGATTTTTGTTTCAAGTCTAATAATAAAACTTAAAACTTTAATTGAATTCATTAAGGATTGAAAATTTCATCGCTTATTGAAATTAAAATTTACCAATATCAGCCACAAATAGTGTTCTATACCTCTTTTAAGTGTCCTGTAATTTGAATTCACAAAAGATAACTAACAGTCGAAAAGTTTCACCAATATATACCGGTATGCAAAATCCCATCCATCAAAATTTAAGCGACTTTATAGTAATAGCACATTTAGTTTTGACATATCTCGGAAATCTGCAATTCAAACAGAAAGATCTGGAATGTGAAGATTCTGAATTTGTTTTAACAGTTTTAATAGTCAAATCTGGAAAATATTCCACACCTGAAAATATCCATTGTTCACAGTAACTGCAGTTTACACAAATACTTCAACTTGTACTCACACCATGAAAGAAGCATGCATAAAAAAACATTTATTCCAGACCTGTTATATAATTATAGAATTATATAAACTCCAGTTCTAACACAAGTATGCATGTCATTATCATAAAGTACGTTCACAGCAGCCTGTATTACACATGCCATAGTCTGCAACTATGCTAGTAAATTACCTCTTGTGGGGACGAAAATTGATCTAAGGGATTAATATACTGCCGTACAAAAATCTCGACATCACAGTAGCTACAAATAGTAAACATTGTCAGGCAATACCGAATAACACAGCATTTACAATTTTTAAAGTAAAACAGGCCTAAACAACATAATCCTTTTCTGATTTTCCTACTAACCTCTGGTCTTTGGACTATTTTGTTTAAATTTTTGAGCCAATTTTAGACAGTCCCTGTAACGTATATGTGAAAATATTAAATAAAAAAATACACCATACCTACCAACCAAAAGTTCTCAGAGTACTTCATTAAAATCATAAGCAGAAGCGACATTTTTGAAATTTTCATCGAGGTTTGAAAAATAAATTCATGTATTTGCAAACTTTGGAAGAATCTGCAGATTCTTAAGTTTGCAAAAACATTTTTTTTAGTTCATATGCATACAAAAATTTTAACAACACACATTTTCTCATTAATTAAATGGGCAAGCACAGAAACGGACAAGGTTGCTTATAGTAATAATAATAATAATACATTGAGAAAGTGAAAGAACAAAAATTTGTGTCTGAAAAGTTGACTCCGTAATGTTAAAAGTTTTTTTTACTTACTAGACATTTTTTTGAACTTCCCTATCTGTTTACTATCAATGTTTATCTACATGTAAAACCATGCACATATATACACCCGTACTAAGAGCACCATTTCTATGACATTTAATAAGTCTCAATAGTGGCTGAACTCTGGTATTTCATAAATACAATCTAAACTTTGAAATTCAAGACAAGTCTGGATAAAAATGTTTGGAAACAAGAGATTTCCAATATTAACCCTTTCACCACTGTAGACCATGATGGACTCACCCAGATCGATGCATGGGAGAGTCTACTAAAGTTGCATAGGGGTTAAAGGGTTAAATGTCCTTTAATCTTGAATAATGACCTAATAAATATTCAAGAGTCATATTGAAATCCAACTTTTTCAGATTAACAAATTTCGGTGTAAATTTTGCTTCATGTACTAATTTATATCGGGGTACAATATAATTGATTGGTGAAGATTAACTAATGAACTTAATTTCAAAGATAGATTTTAAAAAAAATCCTTGCATTAAATGGATACTCTTGAGTATTATTAACTCATTCACCCCTGATGTTTCATAATGAACTATTCCAACCTATGAATTTGAAGAGTTCAAATGTGTCTTCAGGGGTGAATGTGTTACGGTAAAGAGTACCAAAGCTCTTGATAAAATTGCAAAGATTTCCTAGACTTATTTCCATTGGTAAGGTATTCATGCTTCATTTCAATTTTTGATGCAGCCAAATTACAAGTCATGGGTGAAGTGTAGGATTGACAGTGGCCAGTTTCTCAGCTTGACCGGTGGAATTTATATTTCTTTTTTGTTTTCCGTTTTCAAATATTCAAGCTTTCAAACAATTTTAATTCTGTAAAATCCATCTTGGGATGCGACTTATAAGCAAAAAGTGAAGAAAGTTAATTAAATAGTTATTTTGAAACATACCAATTGTATCTTGTATTTTGTCTTGATGGTACATATACTCTTTACCTTACACCAAGACTCCAATAATAAGGATCAATTTTACCCTGTTTGTATTAGGATACATCATGTTTATGTAATTATTGTTTAAATTGTCTCCCTTTTTGACAGAAACTAGGATACATTGTCTCCCTTTTTGAAAAAAACAACTAGTTTCAAAAGACATCACAAAATTAAAATGTAAAAATTAAACTATTCTCCTCCCACTGATATGACTGGTAGCTGGTCTATTTGATCACTGACAAGCCAACTGCTGTCAAAATATCATATTTTAAGGCATTTTTGAAATAAAAGATGAGATCAAAATTCATATAAATGGTTATCACACACATACATTGATACATCCACACAAATTCATTTAACATTTGGAGAAATAATAACAAATTATAATTTGCCAATTCATTATTTTCCTGACTAAACTCAATATTAAAATGTGAACACTTTACTCCCACCTACCAGGGAGTCTCTTGCACCAGGGAGTCTCTTGCAACAAAGCAGACAAACATGAAATTGTTCTTCACGTTTCTATAGAGTGGATCCATGCCCAGCTGTATCCAACTGTTCTGTACATGTATTACGATTCAGCATCCGTTGCTATCGGAGAAAAGGAATTGTTCTAAGGCAAATCCCGACTACAGAACTCGAGTTGCAAATATCAAATACATTTGTATATATATATATGTGGCTATTAAACAACAGTTTTGCCGTACCTATAACATACATTCAGCATCTCATTACTGTTTTTCTAATTCGTACCAACGGTTTAAGTAAGAATACCATTTATCATTCTGTAAACTGGTAAATTTTCACCATCAAACTTTCGCCCTTGCTGGTAAAATCTATATCTGCCAAACTTTTAATTTCGTCCTCCACTTTTAATCACTATGTGTATTATGTTGCTTTCTAAAGTTCGCTGTAATGATTCTAAAGAGTGAAAAAGGAGAAAGGTTACACTGCAGCAAAAAAAGTCCCGGTATACAGTACTTCTTAAACCCTTACACGATTGTGAAAATTAAGCCCCTTACATGATTGTGAAAATTAAGCCCCTTACACGATTGTGAAAATTAAGCTTAAATATACATGATAGGTAAATATGCGCATATTTTAATGAGTGGTATTATTTTATTGAAAAATAAAATAAAATCCTATTAAATGTTGGAACAAATATTATAATAAGCAGGTTATTATTCCCTAATATCTAATATTATAATAAGTCGGTTAAACTGTATCATGAATCAGCAAATTTTAAACGTTTTTTCATTCAAATTTGAGTTTACTTCTAAAAGGCACACTCACACAAAGCCGAACTAAAAAAAGTTTGCACAATCATGTGAAGAACAGACAAAAAAGAATTTTGGTGGAAATAGATCTTGATCAACTGCAACCAGTAAACAATATTTCTATCAATATTACATGTTCTAATCAGATTAACTTCAGAGTTTTCAAAGAGAAATATAGTTAATTTATTCAAATTATTGACATTCTGAAGACTTTTTTGTTGCAACCAGTTGAATTGATTCCCCTGAAGCATTTATCAAAATTGGCTATTTTTTACCCAAGATATTTGCATAGATAATATGCAACACCGAAAAAACAAAAGATTTTTTTTTTAGCTGCAAATAAGTAGTGTACGCTTACATAAACATTATCATAGACTTAGGGCTAGAAATTAATTTCATAAACCACTGGTTAGCTGGACTTGTAGTTTAAATTTTTATGTCCACATGCAAATTCTGCTTTAATACCCAATATTATTCAACATGATAGGTTATATAAGATTTTGACTAGTCAGTTGGGCCAGCAGTTTTTAGAACCACTGGCCCAGTTGGATATTTCACAAGTCTCGGACTATCAGGCTACCCTTACTGTCTAGTCCTGTATTACTACCAAGGAAAACAACCTCTGCCCAATACTAAGAAGTGAACTCTCGCGCCGAAGTTTTAAGGTAAAGGTCTGCCTCAGAGAAAGTCTATATTTACAACTTACAACACAATTACACACCTCTCGTGTACACATGCTGAATCTGAAAAAACACACATGCATCCATTACACTCAATATATATATATATAACACAATTTGTCCATGCAATTCTTAAAAGCTTCGGCTGGAGACTCCTTCCTCCACCAGAAATCGTATGACATAAGTTTTTCGATTTTCAATTTTTGTCGATCAAAAATACTGTTTAATCATTAAATCCTCTGTCCAGCAATGTTGATCAACAACAAACGGTATTACGCATATTCGCGAAAAAACTAAATTTATGACTATGTCTATATTTCAACACTCATGAATAATAGATTTGTATCATCGAGAGATGATAATTGGAACACATCTGGTTAAAACAATAGCCAGGGTGTAGGTGTCCTTTGTCAAAATCTCACCAACCGCAAAACAAATTCGGTCCATGTCATGGGAGGTAAAATTGAGACATCACAATGGTGTACAACACATGAAATTTTTAACCCCGCTGCAGAGCGCCGAAGCAGTCCAGCAGAAGTCGCACTTTCTCGTCAGAAAAGTGGCACAAGTCGTTTGCCGTCGTTTGCCTCTATACAGGGTCCAGCTTGCAAGGAGTGCGAGGCAATGACCAAGTCACAGTCGAGTGAATCTGTCTCCCTTGGTACTCGACTGAACTGTGGCCAATGGACTTCCACGGCAGAAGTCCCAATATCCAAGCATGCAGGACTGATCACCATGACAACCAGTTCCAGAACGCATGACCAACCAGCCGCATGAGACCATCATCCAAGGCTTGCGCGTCCACACTAACCAACAACGTAACGAAATTAACGGCAGAGCACAGCATGCTATGTAGTCAATGTAGAACTTAAATAGACACCATGATTGACAGCTGTACAAACTGAAACAAGACTTTGTAGCGACTGCGGAATAGCACTGCCTGTAGGCACAAGCCCATAGTTTATGTGAGTGGAAGACGGGTTCAATTGGGTCGATCACAGGGCATAGGAGACACGTAATGGAGGATTCCCGCCTTGTCGTCCTTATCGTCACACACTAGCACAGACACCGTCTGCTTCCAGTACTCGAAGCTGATGCGTGAACTCTGCAAAAATATTATTAAATCAGGTCTGAGGATTATAATATCATTATTCGTGGTTTATACAGACTTCTCGGCATGAAATTAGACATCTATTCCCAAACTTTTTGATATTTTCCAGGTTTAAGTTCTTGGAAACTTGATTTAGAATTTGCTTTTATAGAACAGATACTATTATTACATATCACAAAACTAAAACTAATCACAACAAATTCAAAACAATTGATAACCTTCATATGGGTCAATTTTATATCAACACAAAACTTTGTAACCCTCCTTCACTAGAAACCATAATAGAGTCCTTCATAGAAAGAAATACATGACAATTTATTAAATTTTGAGACAGGAAATGTATCATTCCTATATCACATAATGATCTCATTACAGAACTTCTAGCTCATAAGTTAAATACATTTTTTTCTGAATTCTTTAAGAGTGAAATTACAGCATTCGATATAATATAAAGCACTTTGTGATATCACACAGTTGCACCATGACATCACATTTCTAAAACTTACCTTTTCTAGAGCACTACAATCCTTGTCTTTGTGAAGATAATGGTCTTGCCAAAACGTCAATAGATCCCTGCAATGTGGAATAGACAGTTAATAATTGTTTGTAACATTGATGATAATTTCATGTTTTTATTTCCACTGCCTTCATTGGACTATGAACACAACTGGATCAGTGTCATTTTAACGCTTTTCCTCTCGCATGGAATAAAGTTAAGTCATCATGAGAAGCAAACATTTATGTGATGATAGCCAGTTTAGTTCAAGGAATACTACAGACAATACCAACACCCCAAATATTATGAAGTGCTTGTATTTACCATGCTTATAATAATAGATTTAGAATGTAAACAAGGCATCACAAGTGATACAAATCCCCTCACATTCACACATTGGGACATATGTAAGAGGAAATGTAGTCCCTAGAGCGATGACTAAGGTGGGTTTTTAAAAATAGTAAAAGTGACCTTGACCTTTAACCCAATAACCCGAAACGCGAACTTGTTCAAGGCAGTGCCATATCAAACACTTGTATGAAGTTTCGTATATTGTATTGAGGAATGAAGTCGATAGTGTGATGACAAAGTTTTATCTAAAAATAGTAAAAGTGACCTTGACCTTTAATCCAGAAACCTGAAACGCGAACTTGTTCAAGGCAGTACCATATCAAACACTTGTATCAAGTTTCATCAAATTGCTTTGAGGAATGAAGTCGATAGAGCAATGACAAAGTTTTTCTAAAAATAGGAGAAGTGACCTTGTCAGTTAACGCAGTAACCTGTAATGGGAACTTGTTCAAGACATTGTCATACGTAACACTTGTACATGAAATTCTGTTGAGGAATGAAGTCGGAAGAGCAATGACAAAGTTTTTCTTTTTAGAAAAACTTTGTCATAGAAACCGAAACGCAAACTTGTCCAAGGTATTGTCACACTACACACTCGTATGAAGTTTCATGGAATTCCGTTGAGGTCGCTAGAGCGATGACAAAGAGTGTAACATACATACGTACGGGGGAATCCTATATCCCCTCGCACTTTCGTTGCGAGGGGATAATTAAGATGTTAAATTTGTTTTCTTAAACATTCACACATGGAATACAAATCAGTTGAAAGGACCTACTTTATTTCTGGGATGGTCCCGTTTAATAGATCCCAAGAGATCGCTGATTACTCTATATAATTATGAGATTACTCTATATAATTCCGCAACATGACATTAAACTAATCATATTAGTGTTGACATCTACTAGTAATCTGTTTGCGCACCTGAAATTGCGTAGGAGATTTGCTGACCCACTGACATCCATCAGATCCTCTTTCTCATCCCGTAGTGCCTGCAGGTACTTAGGGAGCTGGCCCTTACGATTTGCAAACATAAGAAAGACCAAGGTGGTGTTCAGGCAGCTTACGTTTTCCTAAAGTGAAAAAAAACTCAGTGTCACCTTCAACATCAGTGGTCTTTATATATTTTCTTGTAACAATATCCTCAATGTAACTGCTGCTGTCTTAGAAGTATATTAAGGTCTTTGGAGTGTATTGATAAACGGAAACAAGAAGTACATCCCTAGTTGAATATCCAATGTAGGGAGACAGTATCACAATTTCCGCAAATTCTAATGTTTAACATTAAATTGATGAATATTGTATGTTTATTATTGACAGAACAGTGTGTTCTCTCAATATTAAAGTATTTAAAAGCACTCCAGTCATAGATTCAGGTTTTTTTAATCAATGAGTCACATGTGTCCATTTTTCTGTATTTCAGGAAAACCGGCTACCTATTTCACTACAGTGAAGTTTTTCAAGAACGATAACTCTTACCTGCAATTACTATGTGTATATGGTTTTATTATAAAATGTCAATTTTTATATCGTGAATAGAGAATTAATATTTCAGCATTTATTAAAATGATATACATTGATGCAATACTAATATATTTATATTATAATTTCCATTTAAAATCCTTAAAATTCTGACAACCTATTTTTTTTTTGTGGCAGAAAATTTTCTTTACTTTTAAGCAATATAACTACAAAATTTGAAGAAATTCTCCTGAGAAATGGTGACACAATCCTATTACCTTAAGCATAAAATCACTTTCGTTTTCTTCATATGGATTGCAAAAATCCTCTGTAACCAACTACCTGCACACAATATTCTTTCTTCTTAACTCCTTTACTTACCTGTGTGCGAGTTTATTACACAAAACCTACCTTCTGCTGCAGTATTTATCAGTATGAGGTTATATTTCTCCTGTCTTAGCCTGTGGGAGATTATATTTCTCCTTTCTTAGCCTGTGAGAGATTATATTTCTCCTGTCTTAGCCTGTGAGAGATCATCTTTCTCCTGTCTTAGCCTGTGGAAGATTATCTTTCTCCTGTCTTAGCCTGTGAGAGATCATCTTTCTCCTGTCTTAGCCTGTGGGAGATTATCTTTCTCCTGTCTTAGCCTGTGGGAGATTATCTTTCTCCTGTATTAGCCTGTGAGAGGTTATCTTTCTCCTGTCTTAGCCTGTGAGAGATTATCTTTCTCCTGTCTTAGCCTGTGGGAAATTTTCTTTCTCCTGTCTTAGCCTGTGAGAGGTTATCTTTCTCCTGTCTTAGCCGGTGAGAAATTATCTTTCTCCTGTCTTAGCCTGTGGGAGATTTTCTTTCTCCTGTCTTAGCCTGTGAGAGATTTTCTTTCTCCTGGCTTAGCCTGTGGGAGATTTTCTTTCTCCTTGCTTAGCCTGTGAGAGATTATCTTTCTCCTGTCTTAGCCTGTGGGAGATTTTCTTTCTCCTGTCTTAGCCTGTGGAAGATTTTCTTTCTCCTGTCTTAGCCTGTGAGAGATTTTCTTTCTCCTGGCTTAGCCTGTGGGAGATTTTCTTTCTCCTGTCTTAGCCTGTGAGAGAATATCTTTCGCCTATCTTAGCCTGTGAGAGATTATCTTTCTCCTGTCTTAGCCTGTGAGAGAATATCTTTTTCCTATCTTAGCCTGTGAGAGATTTTCTGTCTCCTGTCTTAGCCTGTGGGAGATTATCATTCTCCCGACTCAACCTGTGAGAGATTATCTGTCTCCTGACTCAACCTGTGAGAGATTATCTGTCTCCTGACTCAACCTGTGAGAGATTATATGTCTCCTGACTCAACCTGTGAGAGATTATCTGTCTCCTGACTCAACCTGTGAGAGATTATCTGTCTCCTGACTCAACCTGTGAGATTATCTGTCTCCTGACTTAGCCTGTGAGAGATTATCTGTCTCCTGACTTAACCTATGTGATATTGTCTTTTCCCCCCCGACTAATCTTTGTTTGATATTTACATTCAAAACTACCTGCGTGCGATTCTTTTTCTCCTGACTTATCTGTGTGAGATTATCTGTCTCCTGACTTACTTGTGTGAGATTATCTGTCTCCTGACTTACCTGTGTGAGATTATCTACGTTAATAATCTTGATTAGTTTGTAGAGGTAGTCGAGCTGTTTACTGAAGTCGCCAATATACATCAGTAATTTGTTGTCCTTTTTGGCATATTCTGCAAACAAAATACATTTTTCCATTTAGAAACTGAGCAGACATTTCATTATGCTATTTTTATATTTCATCACTGAATACACATATTTGCTTTTAGCTAAAAAAAAAATCATTTTGCATTGCTTGAAGATTTCTTTAAATTTAAAAAAAAATTGCAATCAAAGAATCAAATCAAGAAACTGTTTTTAGTCCCAATTAGCCTACGGATCAGCATACAGGGTGTCTTGCCTGATATGTGTGGCCTCGCTTTTGTATGGGCAGTCTTACCACCATATATGGTGCCTTGCCTCCGTAAGTGTCGTCTTAATTTGTATATAAGTGGTGCACTATCCCTATATGTGGTGTCTTTAACTCTGTATGTGGTGCCTTACCCCTATATGTGGTGCCTTACCTCTGTATGTGGTGCCTTACCCCTATATGTGGTGCCTTACCTCTGTATATGGTGCCTTACCTCTGTAAGTGTTGCCTTACCTCTGTTTGTGGTGCCCTAACCCTATATGTGGTGCCTTACCTCTGTATATGGTGCCTTTACCTCTGTAAGTGGTGCCTTACCCCTATATATGGTGTCTTACCTCTGTATGTGGTGCCTTACCCCTATATGTGGTGCCTTACCTCTGTATGTGGTGCCTTACCCCTATATGTGGTGCCTTACCTCTGTATGTGGTGCCTTACCCCTTTATGTGGTGCCTTAACTCTGTATGTGGTGCCTTACTCCTATATGTGGTGCCTTACCCCTATATGTGGTGCCTTACCCCTATATGTGGTGCCTTACCTCTGTATATGGTGCCCTGTCTCTGTATGTGGTGCCTTACCTCTATATGTGGTGCCTTACCCCTATATGTGGTGTCTCTGTATGTGGTGCCCTACCCTATACCTGGTGCCCTACCCCTGTTACTGGTGCCTTACCTCTGTATGTGGTGTCTTCCTCTGTGAGGTGCTCCAGAGACAACACCAGACTCCTGATGAACATGTTGGAGTCCACAAGATTCCTATTTACCGTGTTGATGAATTTCTCAAACTGTCAACAAACCAAATATTTTGTCAGTAACATAAGTTTCAAGCCGTGTTGATGAATAATAATATAATTCCCTAGCAGTACTATTCTTTCAATCTCCAAATAAACACATGCTATCAGTGAAACAATGTTGTAGCAGTATTAAACAAAGTTTTATTCACCTCTGAGTCATATATCACTCTCAATCTTTCAATTCGACTCGATGACTTTTCAAAAATTAATAATATATTTTACAAAATTAAATAAAATAACTCATTGTTTTTCAAAAGTTAATAGGAAATAATGTGATTAAAAGTAGATAAAACAGTATCGGAGGTTTTCAAGGAACCTCCCAGTAGACAAGGTAATACATTTACTTGTATTGTAAATAATTAACAGTTCATCATAATTAAGCAAAGGTATTCCAAAATAATTTCACTAACATGAAAACCTATGTAAACATGATTTGTTTGTTTTTTTAACTTCCATATATCAGGGAAGTTTTATCAACACTACTGTAATTGCCAAGTAAAATGTAGGATAGTTTGACTTTTTTTTACCTTTGCCTGTGTTGTGAGGATTTCTTCAAACGTCTTGAAGGCCTCGATGTTGAACTTGATGAGTTCTCCCAGCAGGTCGAAGCTGCTCTGTAGGATTTCTTTGTGTCTGATCTCGTGTTCCACGATATTGCTTGCTACATGCTGTAAAAGGTCATACAAAGATTAGATGAGCAACTCTTAACAGAGCATATCATATGTAGTGTGGAGGATGTGAAAATTCTACCAAAAAAAAATAAAGGGTTTAGAATTTGGGGTCAGAACTAAGACTTGCAGAGTTCATGATCCTAAATTTTCTGCACTTGAGGTTAGAATTCCTATATCTCCCCATACAGCTAAAACTCTTCTTTTTTTCTTTTTTTCTTTTTTAGTGAAAATGAAAGTGTTCTATAACTGCATCCGTTCTACAATGCAAGCTCACAAACTTATTAAATGTAATGTAATTTCATTGTCCATTATCATGTCAAAATGACGCGCACACCCATAGAGGACAGATTTATCCACCAGCCCCATGACTACTGTACTTGTCTTACATGGAAATACTTATCCTAAACCCCTAAATGAAAGAGAATATTAAGTTATTGTATAGAATGTCATTTAGATTTTTTTAGCCATCTGTTTTGATACTTAATGTAATTTTTTATCACCAAAAAAACCTTATTGCAAACTCCCCAAATAATTTGGATGAATAAGAAGGCAAAACTAAAAAGTATTGAAATTCCCTTTTCAATATACTTACTTATTGATGTTTTGAAACTTTTTTTCATGAAAATATATATGATATTGTATGATCTTTTTACTCCATAAATAGCCTGTCTATGACATAGGCAAAATACTTGAATATATACGGAAAACAGTAACAACAGCTAACACTAACCTGCAGCAGTCCTCGGCGCATTAAAAAGACTTGATCACAGTAAGACGTGTTTCCTCGTAGGTAGCTCTCCACTGCCCTGGCCAGCCAGAACCTTTAAACAATGTCGTTATATTAAGTCATTGTCCAAAAAGGATTAATCGCAGTCCTTGATTCTCTTCCAACAATCTTTTTTAATACCTTTCATTTAAATTTTTAAATCACAAGGTCACAATTTTTATTTAGTATTAAATAAAATATTTTCTATGATATTGAATTTTTTAAGTTGACACAGTTGTTATAAATGATAAAAGGAATTTGAAGTTTCAACAGCAGGAATGTCCCTAATTCATGGATATCCACTAGGAATGGAAATTGTTTCTTTTATTTCTTCTGTACGGGGCTAGACAATAAGGGTAGCTCAGTAGTCTCAGACTAGTGAAATCTCCAGCTTGACTAGTGGTTCTCAAATTCGCTAGCCCAATAGACTAGTCCAAATCTGGTATTGCTTATCCTGTGACGAAATTCGCACATGACTGCTAAAATTTGGAAACTCCTACCCCAATTGACTAATGGTATTCAAAATAAATTTCTAGCCCTGTCTGTGCGAAATGAAATCTAGCATACCTGAATGTGGAGGTTGTCGGTTCCTTCTTCATCACTTCAACAATCTTTGTCAACAGACCTTTACTTCCTTTACACATCAATTGTCTAAAAATATTACAAAACAAAAAGTTTATTTTTTAATCTATTTGTTAGAACTCAACAGCTCAAACACTATAAGGTCATATAGGGTAACACGATAGAGACGCTTGGAAGTTTTATGTCAGGATATGTCTTCACACATCAAATTTACAAATACGACTTTCCATAACATTGGTTAATCTTTACTGATCCAAATCTAAAGAACAAGTTTTTTGATTGGTTGATTTTAGACTGGATGAATTGAAAGCACCAATAACAGCTGTTTTAACATCAAATTCTGTCTTTAATCCTTCCTGCCACATACATTTTTCTGAACCTTCCCAATGACAACGCGATCATAATGATATATAATTCTATCTTAAATTTAATCCATCATGAATATCGTCTTTTTCTTTCTTTCAATATGATTAAATGCCAGCTGCTGTACATAAAACCGTATGTAATGTTAAATGTCAGGATATAGATAAGTAACGACACAACTGTTGCACAGCTATGAAGTATCAAAGCACTAGATTGTATGTGAAGACCTACTCCATAAGCTATACTTACCGATTAACATTTTCTAAGCTACCTAACGCCAAAGAACCAGCTTTCACTGAAAGGAGATAAATGACAAATTGCAAAATATTGTGTTGTAAGTGTAAATTTACAGAATTCTGCAAAATTCCATCCATGATGGTAATTTTACAAATCATCAAATCAGAGTTACAAGAAAAAGATCTGATAGTCCGAAGATTCCCCCTATAATGATTAAGTTATTTTTCAATTTATAAATAACATTTCATCACCCAATGTACATGTATTTAATTTACATTTCTACATTAGTAAATAGGCTTATTAATTTTCACAGTTATTTCAATTTCAAGATTTGATTATTTTTCAAACATATTGTCAGCCTAGTAAAATGTATTATTTGTTGGTCAAACGAGTCCTTGACATTTTTTATATTCCATCTGTCAATATTTACTTACAATTAATTCTCTTCACTTCATTGAGTTCGTTCTTTGATAACAGAAGATGCTTGTAACTGGAAAATAAGAAGAAAATGGTCATAGGGTTTTACATCAGAAAGCGTAAAGTGAATTTACTGTGTATTTATATTTGCTGTTATGATCAATTTTCCCTCGTCACAGAGGGCGAAAAAATGTGAAATTTTGTCTGCTGCCGAAATTTTTCCAGCATACAATATTCTCATTGGAATAGTCCAAGAGCCTGTTCGTTAATGCGGAACAACCGGTTTGTCTGTTTTTAAATACAACATTTTCAGGTATAAATTCTGGTGGACCTGAAGAAGTTTATGCAGGCCTTGCAAGGCTTCGCAAATGCTCACCTGAAATCAGCATCAGATTACTAGGCCCGACCTTATTTCATATTCAAACAACTCTGGTTCAACTGTTTGGATCACAATAAATGAAAGTGGCCCATACCATTTCCCCAAACAAATGACATGCCATTGATAAACAGAAGACATTTTACAAAAGTCTTGGACCAAATTTCAGTCTTTAAATACTTACTCTGAGTGATCACAGAAGCTGTGTACAAGTCTCAAAAACTGAATTTTCAGTGCCACCTCCTGTCAAAAAAGGGGAAAAAAAAGATGTTCAATATAAAATATAACTAAGATATGTGATAAGATAACACATTCTTCCTGTTATTTTTTTACCTGGATTTTTTTAAACATTTTCCTTTATACCATGTTTACTCATTAGACTTCATTGACTTTTGAATTAAATGTATTCAAGGTTGCAAATTAAGGCGATGTGAGACAGGTAGGTTATAATTAACACCTGGTGGTAATAAAAACCTTGGAATATGTGTACTGTTATTTGAACCCAGGCCGTTTGTCAACCAATCTAGCTTTTACATATTATCCCATTTCATTTGGTTCTTGATAGTGTATCCATTGGATATTCACAATTCTTACTCCGAAGAGTCAAGAAATCATGGCATATATAAATACATATATATCCAACAGGAAAAAAAAAAGAGCAAATCTGTAACTTTGTAAAAAAAAAAATCAAATGTACAAATTTCATCTTCAGTATAACGAAAATGACATCTGAACATCTAAAGTTCATTTGGGAGTATTTTCAAATTTAAGTTTCTAGAGTTTACATTACAGAAGCTAGCAAACAGATTGAAATGAGTTATGGATTGTGAAAATTGGTTTGATTTTGTTCATGTACACTCTCAATGATTCAGTAGTTTGGGTATCTAGCAGGACATACGTACCGGACTACATTCACAGGCTGCATTGTGACCTCGTAATCTATGCCGAGTACTGTGTCTGCTGCAAGAACAAATAGAAAACTCTTCACAATCCTCATATAAATATATGCTATCATGATTATAGGGTTTGCATTTGAATAAATTTAGTTTCATATCTGAATGTTTAAACTAAAGATCATGTGATTTTTGCTTTAAAATCAACAAATAAGACTTGTATACAGGACTAGACAATAATAGTACCCCACTAGTCTGAGACTAGTGAAATCTCCAGCTGGACAAGTGGTTCTACAAACTGTTTGCCCAACTGACTGTCAAAATTTGATATAACGTATTATCTTGAATAATATTGGGTTTATAGTGGAAATGCACATGGACTGGTAAAATTTGAAAGTACTAGTCTATCTGACGAGTGATTTTAAAAATATATTTCTAGCTCTACCTGTAATATGTACAACTTCGAATTCCTATTTCAGCACTGTTTCAAAACTATCCAAACTGAAATTCATTATTTATTCACCTAAAGTATAATTGAGTGACGTGTGTGTGGTGTTTTTTTTTACATTGCAAGGAACGTCAATCAATCTCATTAAATATGCTGATCGAGATAAAACTAAACCATTACCACACAGGGATACTCCACTTACACTTGACATTTCCAGATAAATTGGTCAAACAGTTCACTAAGACCTGGTGCTAACTTCAGTTCTGCAAGCTTTCTTTGTACCTGTAATAGACACAATACATACAGTTCTTAACGTGTAATAAGCCCAGGGGGCCCATACACTTTGACTTGAAAATGGAGTTGGTTTATAATATTGGAGTTCTCCTGTAATGAAACAGTATCTGTTGTTTTTCCCCCCATCAAACTGTCATGGATATAGACTTGAAAATGGAATTGGCTTATCATATTGGAGTTCTCCTGTAATGAAACAGTATCTGTTGGGGTTTTTTTCCCCATCAAACTGTCATGGATATAGGTGGGCTTATTACCAGGCATGGGCTTTAATGGCAAATCAACTGTATATTAATACATCTCAGTACTGAACACAGCTTGTTATCCCTACTCAGACTGCATTGTACAAGAGGGATGACTGACAGATTTTCAGAGATCCTATTTTCAATTAAGAATCCGAGGGTAGAATTTAGATTACCACCATGACAGGGACAATCTTGAGGTCAATATAAACCTTTCAAATACATTATGTTCTTAAAGCCGTTCAACATAATTTGAGTCTAAACGGAAGAAAGTTCCAGTTACGATTGCAATAATACAGTGTTTCAATGATATGGAGTTTCAGTGTACCTTTTTACGGTGTTTGCCGAGTAGGAAGAGACCCAGGACATACACAACCTCTACTCGTTGTACTAACTCCTCCGTGATCTTTAGACCTTGTTGTACATTCATTGGGCCGCCAGCAGACGTTGGCTCTGAGATACCTACAAGCAGACATGTACAATACTTGTGACAGTGTCAACATAAAATGTGATAGATCAAAAATTCTTCAGTTCCGGTCAAGACTGAAACCGCCGGCTTATTCACAGATCTGATCATTTCTACCAAATCAACATTTTGTAGAACCTAATTTATGTAAAAAGAACCAAAAATCCTGTTTTCTATATCTTTAAACAATATTACACAATAATGAACTCTATATTGAAAATTTGATACCATCAATTTAACACGGCAACCATAACACTTTTGTTTTACACAGCAAGCTCATCTGATTGGCCGAGACAATTGAAAAAAAATAATGCAAGTTTCTTTTTGTCCCCCAGTCTATCAATTTGTGTGAAGAGCAAGAGGATTATTTCTGTCCCCCAGTGTATCAATTTGTGCGAGTAAGGTATAATTCCTGTTGCAGTCCCCATACCTCCGATGAAGTCCTCCAGGTCGTCCATTGCTGGCGTGTCATACATTTCCTCCGCCATCTGGTTTTCTATCCATTCCATCCAACAGTCGAGCTCACTAACCATACCACGATACCGTGGGGTGTCTGTAACAAAAGTTTGTTTGGGGGGTTTATGTCTTAACAACAACTCAGATCCTATGACAGTGGTGTCAACACATATACTAGGGCAAACTCAATGGCCACTATAAAATGCTATAATCATGGAGCTTAAATTATGAACTCTTATATCTTATAACTATTTTTTCATACATAAATACATCACAGAAATGTTCTATACTGTGAAATCACTAATTTTTGAGGTTTTTTTTTAATTTTGTTTATTTCTTGGGAGATCTTAATCAACAAATTCATGGGTCCAGAAAGTAAGTACAACTTTCATACAAATCAATTCTCTGTTTGAGTTGGTTTTCACAGTGCTTTTTTACCTGAATTTTACAACAACCTGTTCCTTTATGAATTGGGAAAATAAAGCATTATTTTTATTGAAATTGAGAATATGTATTTCTCATTTTTGGTCATTTTGGGAAAATAAGGCACTTTTAGCTAGGGGAAACAGATTGAATCCAGCTGTAAAACTGAGCAAAAAAAAATCAATGATTCGTAATCCACGAATAAATGTACCCAAGAAGTGCAGTATGTCGGGGAAACCACGAAATTTTGGCTTACCAAAAGTATCTTAATTTTCACAGTATGTACCATGTGTGGTATTATCATTTGTTGTGACATCACAAGTAATAACAATAATTCATCTAAAATTCAGTTTAGGGTCTTTCAATACACAACAGTGGTTCTGAAGGTACATGAGCCCATTACCAAAAGCACACAGTCACAAGTCCTGCTGGAATGTATAACAAATAGTAACTTACAATCTTTTGCCACAGCTAAGTTCACCAGTCTTGGTAGAAGGTCTGGTATCGCAAGCAACAGTTCTGTGAACAGAAAATAGAAGAGAGTGGAATTCACAGGTAACAATATCATCATAAATATATGCCTAAGTCTGTTTGTAAACAAAAACACCAATTTTCAACACAGCCAAAAAGTCAAATTTAGACAGCAGCTTGTGTAGTACTGTCTGATCCAAACTGTAAGTGTTTCCGTTTTGAGTGGTCTAAAGAAAACAAAGAAAGTACTGTGGCACAGTTCACATGCCCCCATATTTGCAAAGGAGCGCAGCACTGCATACAACTTTCTTTGACTAAGTGAAAATTCTGATTAACTTGTTTCATCATTGTTCTAAAACAGTTTATATTTGAATAACATTCTACATTCAGTCGAAAGTTCTGAAGGTTACAACTTCAAATGTTGATAGATCCACGTACCTTGGTTGATGTCTCGTATATTCACAAAGCCTCGACTTCTTTTCTGTTTATTTTGTTGAAACACTGCAAAAAAATAAGTTCAAAACTGAAGAAAAGCATGTAAAATCACAAAAGAGATTTCTTGTTACAACAATGGAAAGATATTCAGGTGATCGAAAAATTCCTTAAAGCAATTTTTCAAATTAAATATGGATTCATTCATGTGAACCAGTATTTTTGAACAGTAAATAGTCGGCTTTATTAGAAACTGTTGTATACACAGTCATCAAGTTCATTATTGTGGTCTCAGGCAGCAATATCAATCAGGATCTATATCATATGAACGTTAACCCTTTACCCACGGTAGACAATAATAGACTCCTCCATCTCAATGCATGGTAGAGGTTACTAAAGTTACTTAGGGGTGAAAGGGTAAACAATCTCAATCAGGATTTGACTAGGCAAAAAGGAGTTGTCAGTGAAAACGAAGGGTCCAATACTCTATTCTGTGCTGCTGACGAGTTCACTCACTCTGGTATTTTATCTTAACACATTGAATGCTGATTTCGCCTATGCTGACAGGATGCAATCGTAAATGAGAATCAACATCGACCTTCTGTGGAATTCCTTTAATCTAAAGGATGACTGCTACCTGTACGGTACGTGCAGACATGATTTAATGATATTAGTTACGTACAGGAAGATTTGTTTTCGTAGATGTCAAGGTCAGATATAGCCACAGCCAGGATCCTACAGAAGTTAGCCAGCTGGTGATCCTCAAGGGTGCTGATCAGGCCCCGCAGGTTGTCTGTAACACAGGCGTATAAAATCAGTGACATTATCACCAAAATGATGGAAGGACGAGTGCATCAAAAGTTAAATCTAGATCATGTCACATAGAATGACATGCCCTTTACAGTACACAAGGAAATTTTCAACACAGTCAAATTTTCACGTTTTTGGAGTCTTCTACAAAGAGGGACAAATTTATTATGGTAGCAAATATGTGTGAAGGGCAAAAAATAAACACAGGATTATACTTATGATAAGAACAAATTTGACCGCGCGAAATTTAACAAGTATATAATATCTTATATTATAAATGACATACATGTTTCACTTGATTTGCCACGGGTAAAAAAAAACCAATGCATTTTTTGCTTTACTTTGTTATTTATAATACTATAAATACTTTATTTTTAAGCGATTACTTTCGCTTTTTTTCACAAACTTTGAATAAGCAAAACCTTAGTCTGAAATGCTGACTCCATACAACTTTGATAAAATATACTTTTTTTTACGAAATCTAAAGTTTGCCCTATCAACTAATATCTTTATTGTTGAGGATATACTTCTAATGTGAGTTTATATAGGTGACCAAGATATCGTCAAAGCTACCAGTCATTTCCAATGAACACATTACTATCATCAAGTATATAGAAAAACAACATGACTGTTGACAATATTTAGCAATCATCGTGTATTCCAAAGACAAAATCGAAGCTGAATTAAACAGCAGCAAATATCTGCAAATATTTCTGAATTATTAAGTCCACAAGGGACACTGTTGGGTGTACTCACGGATTCTGTGAAGGTCGAGGACCTCCCTGCGTGATTGAAGCATGTCCTCCACCAGTTGACACGAGTTGATGAAGGTTTTCTGGTGAGCCAGCAGAGTGAACACATAATTGAGTACGTCATCACTCGCCATCAGCTGGGCAGTGACCTTGTCGCCGATACACTGTTAACACAGAGACAGTGCTGATTAAAACACACATTCAGACAACTACCATTTTATTTCACAGCTGAAGTCAAGGACTTCCTGTCTGATGATGTAAATGATGCTAAAATTCAGATCATTTCAAACATGATTTGAAAATTTGTCTTGAAATTTCTTTGAAATGCTGTCAAAATTTAACCAAACTTCTGGAGGGTGGTTCTGTTTAGCATTTACAGATAGTTTTGATTTTTTTTTTAATTTTCGCCATGATTGCAGCCTGAAAAACATAATCCCTCAAATATGTTGCCCTTTTGATAGCAATTAAGGTAGGACTGTTGACTATAATATTTTAAAACAGTTCACATTTCTGTCTGGAAAAATGGTTAATTTTTCTAACTCCAATAGTTGTGAGGAAAATCCAGTCTGTATACATGCATATACCGGGTAGATATCAGCTGATACGATGACCAATAAAAAGACAGCATTGTAATTTATTCAATTATTGCATCCCTAAATTGATATCTTTGAATCCACTGAAACAGATAGATCCTAAATCTATGGGTTTTTTTATCCACTTTCATTAGTTTTAAAGCTTCAATCAAGTTTTAATGCTCCAATCGTGAAGACTCTGATATTGGCTTGCTGTCATATATTGCATATTTAAAAAAAAAAAATCGTCAATGATAATGTTAATTCACTGTTGTGACCTTGAGCAGTTTTAACAGTTGGTGAGAATTTAAATAGCCCTATTTGCAACATCTTAATTTTGAGACATGCCATTTGTTTTTGATTTGATGCTACTGTGAAATCACTAATTTTTGTGGGATTTTCAATTAATTTTATTTAACACTTGCTTACACTGAAGTATTTCCACATAAACCATGTCAAACCCTTCAAAACCTTTGTTATCGTAGGTGACGATGGAGAATAAATGCTGACCATCATATTCATCGCTTCAATATACCCGTCTGCCATTTTTATGACTGTTTTTTTCTATTTGAAATTTTCTTGCACACCTTTGATTATTACTAGGGTACACTGCCGGGAATATCAAAAGTAATAACAAAACAACCAATCAGAAGCCTTCTACTATATGCGTTCGGTATAGCAATAACCTGACGTCACACTACCTGTTTACCGATCAAAACCTACAGACACAAGAAACTGTATATGCTGTGCGTATCATTGACGACCTGACTTATCAGAACGGCATATGCCGTGCGTAGCAGCCTAGGGGGTGAATTAATTTAAATTCATAGGTCAATGAAGTAATTACAAGTTTGATATAAAGCAATTCTCTACTTGAGTGGGTACTCTTAATCCACAAATTCATGTACCCTCGAGACAGGTTTTTTGTCGGAAAACCATGAAATTTGGGCCCTACAAAAATATCTGATTTTAAGTAACCTGGGTAACCTACCGTTGTGGTAACCTTGGTGAGGATCTCTAGTACCAGACTTTTTACCCTCAGCAACAGCTCCGATTCTGGGAATCCAACTGTAAAGAAACACCAAAACTACTGTAAAGATTGTTCTTAATTTTCACCATAACTGTATACCAGGAAATTTTCGCTGTAATTTATTTTTTGCCTCCCCCCCCCCCCCCCCCCCCTCCGTAATAAGGGTGGATTTGTCATACAGCAAATATATTTAAACAACCTCATACACATAGTAATGAAATGTGAAGGGCGAAATTAATACAGGGCGAACATTGATTTCATTGGCAAAGGACAAAAGTTTGAACTTTACGATCATTTTCCGGGCATTCTCTATATATATACATACATGTAGCTAGGCGATCATAGTCTTCCTGTTTTATTTTACATATATACATACATACATGCATATGTATATTTAGTGATAATGATATTCTCTCAAAAAGGAAAATCCCTCAGATTAGTTTGAACTTATTTTTTCCGTTACTGTAGAACTACGTGCTAATGCCACTAGACCAGTAATCTGTGAAAAAATATATTCTACAAAATTGACGTGCTTTAGCAAGGCTGCAAAAAGATAGGGACCAAAAATAATCCCTCTTCAGTAATCCACATAAGGTCATTTAATTGCACATCGAGTTCAACATTTCAGATAAAGTCTCCTATTGGCTTACTGAAACAACTTCACTTAATCAGGCGTCACGATTCACCGCGATGCACTTGTACCGTGATTATTTTTGTTTGATTCGATTCATGATATGTTTTTCCGGATTTTCGATGAGTCAGGATCTGAATATTAGTGTATGCCGAGATATTGAGATACGTATCGAATTGTAGGTAAAGTGTATCGTGACAGCTCTAATTCTGAAAGACACATTTGGACAAATATATTTACCTTTGACTTTCCTCCCAACCTTAGGGAAGACAGTGTTAAACATGAGGATACGGAGAAGTACCTGCAGAAAACAACATGCATTTAAAGAAATGTCAAAATTTAAAAGTAATATTCCGACAAAAACGCCGCACAGATCAGATGTTATAACTTGAATTTTGATGGGTTTAAATGTTATTGATACTGAAACAGCATTGTTTTATATTTTAACATCAGCTTACAATAATGAACAATGAAACAGTCATCAGGACCTTGATTGAGGACGTTAAAGCATTCAGCTCAAATGAGCCTGTTTTAACAAATGTTACTGTTTTCTACTCATATGGGAAATCTAAGATGATTTTGTAACTATCCACTCCACCAGAAGTCGATTAATTGTAATTACCTCCACTCCGCCATGTTCGTAAAACTGTGTGGCGTACTTGTTCTGTTCTTCATCCAGGGAGGCCTCATCTTGGCTTCTCCTGGGTTCAAAGTTCATCAAGTTCCCAAGCAGGGTCTGAAACCAGGAATACGACAGGTCAGTGGATTTGTTATAAGTGTAATAATGTATTTAAATTTCAAAAGAACCTAAATGCTTTTAGCTTGCTACTAAATTACATAAAGCAAGCTATAAATCAAGGATTGCCTTCTAACTTGTTTAGGAAAGGCATTACAAAGACTTCAATTTGTAACTAAGTACCAGGGTATATGCATTTACTTGATAGTTAAAAAAATTAACACATTTATATATATATACATTTTTATATAACAAGTTTGATGGACTTTCACCATTGTGACTTAAGTGGTTTCTCTGGAGTTTTTTACAGTCATTTTGTAAATTTCAGATCAACTGCATCTAAACATATTTTTGTAAATCCAAATGTATGCAGAATACACATGCATACATGTACATGAACTGCAACATAGTGTTTTCAATATTCCACTAGCCTGGCTCCTGGCGCTAGTAGACATTTTCAGTGCTTGTGAAATATGTTGGACAAGTATTTCCTGCAGGTAAGTACATACTGTAGATATGAAATCCTTCCTCCATGATTCATGGTAATTTATGTTAAGAAGCATGGTAATGTGCAGCAAAACAGAAACACAACAATAACAATTATTATAACAATAAATAATGACGAATGTGTTTTCACCTTGAGATTTTCCCAACAGAGGTCATCTTCAGCGTCTAAGCGGACGCTGAAGTGATCAAGCTCGGCAATCAGTTCAGGAATTCCACTTCCATCACTAAGGTCTTCTACAATGTGTTCAGGTAACTGTGAAAAAAATACAATCATAAATTACTTATAATATTCCGTTAAAAAAATATACAATTCCAAAATATTTCTTTAAAAAGTAATCAGACCAAAATACCTGGCAAAGATGATCAGGATACAGTTACAGTAATTAAAGATTGTACCAGACTGAATTTATGAAGTAACATTTTTAATTGAATATCCATAAAATCTTAATATATATTTATAACTAGAAGTACTGTTACGTATACACATACAGAACTTTATCCCCTGGCATTTAAAAATGGGAACTTAACATATATACCTAGGTACTATAAATACATCACCAATGCAGATCATTGCTGCAGAGACAAATGAATTCAGAAAAATATTACCTTTTATATCATTTCTCGGAGGAAAATACAATACTAAGTGTATTAACATGCATGACATTCACATTAGATATGTTCTGACAGTTTTCGGCGTTACAAAATCCTAGAAGTGCATCGTCTTTGACATATCATGGAGCATTGGCCACAAATTTCACCAATATGGCTTCATTATTTTAACAAGCAACCATTTACATTACTGCTGAGAACAGATAGAAGTTGACAGATTTGAAAGCTTCACTAGCTATTGAAGCTATATAGTTAGCTTTACCACGTAGGCCACAGATTTATTTCCGATTTTTTTTTATAAAAAGAGACCTCGCAGAACTTAAATTCAAGGGAAAACTGTACGAAATTTAAACAGATGTCTGGTACTTTCTACGAATTCGCTATAAGAAATGTTTCTGACAGATGCAATGGTAACAGAACCATTGACATAATAAAATTAAATTGAAAAGGTCATTACTTTCTGGTGATGGTGGACTTAAAATTACAAGAAATATTTTTACTTCATTACTAACTGGTCACCAACCTTTTCCCAGGTTTACCAAATTACATGTTACTGTATGATTTTTGCTGCATTTTGTGACTTAACATTCTTTCAGTATTAGCAGGAATTAATTAATATTCCAGTATGTTTATAGCAGCATGGTCTCAATGGCTTTTACTTGACCTTGACATTTTGCAAATTCAGAAGTCAAATAATATTCTCTAATGTCACGCTATCACACATTAGTACAATTTTGACAGTTTTCGAGTGATATTTAAAAAATTCTGATATTTTATCTAGAATGTTTCTTGATAAATACTACCCATGGTAGTTCAATTTCAAGATTTTTTTTGGTTCAAAGTTGGTTTTTTTAAAAGAGAGCGCTTAACTCAGAGTTAGATTTCATCCATTTTTTGGCAATAATTAGTACCCATATTGGTACACCATATTACAGGCTATGAAACTCAAGTTTTATTTCTGCTAGTTGGTGTACATGTGCCGATTACAACAAAACATATTGCTTTTATAAATACCATACTGAACTACAATTATATATATATATATATTGTCCTGTTCTAAGGACCAGAAATCAACATTTAAACAGGCTTCATAATTCTCCAAAATATCATTGATGTATACGCTTTTTTCGAGTTTTCTGTACAATTGTGGTAGCATGACCTTGAGATATTTGGAGAGTCAAAACACAAACTACATGTCTAATTGACAATTTTCTCTATAAAATTATGCAAAAATGTTACTTTTAAGGGATTTTCCCCCCTTTTTCCTTTCATGCATCCAAATTACTCACTGATGTGCACAAATATACCTCATAATAATACTTAATGATTTATGCTGAAAGAATGATGTTTCTTGTTCCAAATGAAGTATTTCCCAAAGGGAAAAAGGGCAGGCAAAAGGGCACATTTGACCAAAAAGGGCACTTTAAATTTAATTAGCAGCTAATTAAAATGCCCTTTATGGCCTAATGTGCTTATTAAAGTGCCCTTTTAGCCTCGCATTAGATCGAAAAAGGGCACTTTATTAGCCGTTAATTAAGGTGCCCTTTGTGGCATGCACTCTCATTGGATCTATAATTAAGGGCACCCAATAAGCCTTTGGTTAAGGTGCCCTTTTTGGCCTCACATTAGACAAATAGGGGCACTTTATTAGCCGTTAGTTAAGGTGCCTATTTTGGTTTAACATGCTATTTTTCCTGTCACTTATTTAGCAGACGCAACAGCCCTGCTTGACTGTAAATAGCATCTATTCTCCTTATTAATATTATAACCACCTTAGGTTAACTATGAAAGACTTAACTGCCTCTGACATTATCTGGGGCCCTGACCCTTGTCTTCTTGCTGCTTCAGTGAACAAGATAATTGGCCTACTGATCATGTAGGTGTCATTAGGTAGGGGCTGTGTATTACAGACTTTCACTGACCAGGGCAGTGGTTGAGAGGGAATGGGGAGGCATACATGGTGTACTGACCAGGGCACTGGGTGGGAGAGAACGGGGAGGCATACATGGTGTACTGACCAGGGCACTGGGTGGGAGGGAACGGGGAGGCATACATAGTGTACTGACCAGGGAAGTGGTTAGGAGGGAACGGAGAGGCATACATGGTGTACTGACCAGGGCAGTGGTTGGGAGGGAACGGCGAGGCATACATGGTGTCGATAAACAATCCTATATCTATTTTTTGTAAAAAGGGCATGGCGCCTGGGAAAAGGGCATAGCGCGGTGCCATGCTAATCGGGCTTGTGGAAAACACTAAAATGGTAAAAGAAAGAACATATACATTTTTAGTCCCTTTTGTTTATTTTCAATTTCAGCTTTGAACGTATTACTGCAAACAATATCTTTTACCCAACTCCAGGATTATCACCTATAATATGAGAGTTGTGTCCAACCTGCTATATGCATCTCCAACATATTCCTGTCTTATAATAAGAAACTAACCACTTGCATCTTATACGGTCACTGACCACACTAAATGATGCAAAACTCCAGAGCTCATCCAGGGGCTATATACCGCATTGCTTGAAAGCAAGCTTGCCATGCAGTAGAGCAGTATTTTCGTGGACTGCTACATAAACACTGCGATAACTTAGCCTCTGACAATGAGAGATTATTTTTATCTATATTGCGTCGTCAGAGCTACAAAGCGGTCCTATGCCAACTAGTGGAGCAAAATCAAAATCAAAATTCATATGAGTATAAGGTTATCCAAAATATTGCATAATTATTGAAAAAACAAATCCTTACTAATAAAAAAAAAACTTTCACAAAATTAGCCAAGCCCATCTTGGGGATAAATAGAATGCTAGTCGTTTCGGGACATAACAAGACTTTTCGGGACTTAATTTTGGGACACATAACATATCATTTACGGACACATAAATTTTTCACTTATACATTACATTTCGCTCTCGTTTCATATAAAGTCCTGTAAATACACAAGTATGGTTTTAGTCTATGACCTGCGTCCCGACTTACCAGATTGCTAGTGCTTGAGGGGATACCTACCAACATTTACCCGATTGACTGTGTGCTGTTACCTGGTGAAACTAATCTTATTATTAAATACAGATCTAGAGGAACTAATTTTTCAATTCACTCTATTCTCCATTATTGACATTAAGAGACGAATAAGTTATTGATTCTAACAATGTATTAAGCATTTTATTTTTGCTATATTGAAATTAAATTTTAGACATGAGAATCAATTCATCAAAACCGGAAAATATTTTAAACAATGTTTTTATGTTGTGTCTGTGTGAATATTATATATATTTATTCATGTTTTATTAAAATCATGTAATTGTAAATGTATGACGGGAGGCTATGATAAGTTGTAATAACTTTTATCCAATTGATTGTGTTTAAATAAAAAAGACAATGGTATCTACAGAAGAAAAAAGATATATATCCCGAAATGACTTTTGACATGTCTCGAAACAATCCGAAAAAAGTCCTGTCTTGATACTGAAACAACCCGACACTGATAAATAGAAACGACTGTTATGCCAGATCATGTGTGGTGTTATTTCAATTATTTGTTTCTTTATATTGCCTGCATCACCAAATATAGTTTTACTACTTATACTGCCATGTTAACTACAATTTCCATATTGGGTCATGACACCCATATAAGACATCTGACCAATATCGGAAGAGAGACAAACTTTCCAACATGGCAGTCAATTTAGATTTCGATTCCACTTGCTATGTTAACTTGATAATTTAACAACATTTAAGGCAGAGTTTAACCTCAAGTTATACTGGATATCAACAGAAATAGTTCATATTACAAACCTATTAATAGGAACAATGTGCTGTCAATTAATTCTAAAATCTAAAAACTAGTACACACCAAGTATAATGTATACATTTACGAAAGGGTTCAACTTTACTTTACCATCAGGGGTAATCCTGGAGGGGGCAATGGGGCCATTGACCCATCAAAACTGAAATTGACCTCTCCATGTCTTACAAAGAATGACCTCTCTTTATTTTGATATTGACAAAAAAATGCTAAAAATGGCCCACTGCTCTCAAATTCCAGGATTTTCCCTAGACATTGTTTATTTTCATGCGTATTAGGTGAAAACTAAATATTGTGTCAGTCAAAATTATGATTATCCACAGATCCGATAATATGGTTTCGTCAAGACGTCATTCAAGACAAAAGTAAACACTGGAAAATGTTCAATGACAACACCTCATCTATTTTGAAATTTCTTTTCATCAAAAACAAAAATCCTTCTATATTTCCTAAAATTTCATACACAATATAAACAAATGTATACTCTCAAAACAAAGATGATCCAATATAGAATGCATAGTTAACTCACACATAGGAACTGCATACATAGGTCCATGACAAATTGAAAACGGATACAACAATGTCAGGTCACCATCACATTTTGGCGAGCAATTTTTCGCATTCAAAGACCATACTCACCTGACTTATTCGTCTGTATGAATTTCCTGAATATTGCCATAGCTCATGAGCAAGGAATACAGAGTTTTTGTTAACAGATTTGGCTATTTTTCGCCCAAGCATATTTCTTTCGATGTGATCTTTTTCTGTGCTCGGCGGTAAAATTTTCATGCGCACATAATTTGCGCACTTCCGTACAGTCGCTGCAATCATTATGCATAAAAACATATCACATACAAAATTATTTTCATATACTTCAAAAACTTAATTGCCTTTCAATGTTATTTTCATATGCAAATCCATATGCAAATATTCGAGTAGTACTTTATTCTTATTCAAAAGTCTAGTTGTACGTATCATTTCTTTTTATTTTAAACGTTCTAAGTGTCCGGGTACTTATGTTATTGTTGAACTGGGTTACCCTTGGAGAGAGGTCGGTATAAAAATATTTTCTCCTAAAATACTTAAAATGGATATGTTAGGGATATTTAATCGAACAATGTTTCATCCTGAAGAATGCAACGGTGGATATATTTTCCTGGTAATTAAATGCGTCCTCAGATCGGAATACACAAATGTGGAAATAATGACAGATATGTCAAAACCTTAACTGTCAAACTGACTGTCACCTATTATGAAAAGAAGATTAAGACAACACCGAAAAATGGATCTTATCTTTTATCTGCCGAGGAAAATCAATCAGTATTAAAATTTCCAGCAAGTGTCGTATAATTCTAACAGTCAATTAATATGTGGAATAATACAGTTTAGCGTGTGTGATAATCATCTCTTAAAAATAGCTTACTGGAAATTCCTGACAATGTCTTATGAAAACCACATGGAAAATGAACGAGATGTCACAAGCAGTCTTCTTGATTTTAGTGATGGAAGTAAGCATACCGACAAATGTACTTTCAAAAAGAAGCTCAGCTGTGATTGGGCAGAAGCGGTGACCGGATGGCAGAACATAGTTCCGTCACCCCAGTATGTCCCACATCATGTGTCAAATGTGATCAAGAAAAGAAAATCTGAAAAATTACCCGAATGGCAGCGTAGTGCAAATAGTGATCACTTTGCAGATATGCTGGGCGAAAACTCAAAAGCAGGTGTACGTTGTGTTGGAGATGACTTTGAAAATTTTCCAGTACCTCCATGGAAAGCAAATGTCGAACAAGGAACTTTTCGTTATGTCCCTAACAATGGGTTCTATAGGACAATCAAATTCCTGACATTTGACGAGAGAAGAGAATGGTTCACAGTCACAAAGAAACAACCAGAAAAGGTTTCGATGAGCTGGCAGAATAAGAGATTTCAAAAGGAATTGAAACGCCAACTAAGGCGAGAATTTTCAAATTATCATCATTATCGCCAGAGACAAAGCCCAAGTGTGTCCATGCATGAATCTGTTGAAACTACAAGTGAAAATCCATCAGCAAGAAGTGAATCTCGCAAATCCAATCGACGTATCAAAAGCACACACTCTCAAAGCAGTACTACGAGTCAAATTTCTGAACCTCAACTGAGGCCATCTGAATCTTCAATCAAGAGTGCTCCTGTTTATAGTCAGCTACAGAAGTCGACGAGTGACCTCTATATTGAAAATTTCACACACAGGATTACTGCTCTAGAGGAGGAGTTAAAGCGAGATTCGAGAATTGCTCGAAAAAATCAAGAAGAGCCTTTGGCTACGAAAAACAATCAGAAACCAAAACCTTACAGTGTGAAGGACTTGGCGCAAAAGCAACGGGAAAAGGACACAACTCCACGCCAAGCACCAGCTTCTAAAGAAGTCATGCCAAAGGAATCATTTGTAATTAAACCTGTTGGTAATCGGGATCTTAAACCGATCGAGAAATCTGTTCCAGTTGCACAGTATTCTAATGCAGATGGGGACAAAGCGCAGCACGTCACACATCAACTCAAGTATACCACTATGGGTGGAAACGGAGCTGTTCTCAATTTTCCGAATTTTCAAAATCGAGAAAACATTGCTGAAGGTGAATTAGATAAAACTTTGCATTCTTATAAGGTAGCCATTGAAACTACAAAACAATCGTTATTTCAAACCTTGTCTGCAACTAAAATCAAAAGACGAGCATCGGGGAAAGGATTTACCTCCCCTGCTACTGTTGGTGCCTGTGACAATATATCATCAAATACTGATAATGTTCCGGACAAGGTGGGCAAAAATGGCCACCCTAGAGGTCACGGTTCGACCACTCAAAAGGAGGTGAAACCACACAATAAAAAAGGACACATTGTTGGAATACTGCCAGAGATTGCCGGAAAGAGACTGGAAGTGCCCCCTACTGGTCATCGTTGGTGTTAGCACAGATTTGAAATATTCAGTCCATGGATGTATTTGTGAAGTAGTTTTGGGTGCCTTGTTTAAAGTGAGTTTGATTACATGCTTGTCACTATGAAGTATGATGTTGTTAAGAAAAGGGACTGTATAGCGTTTATATTTCGTGCGGGGGAGGGGTTATTTTGTTATATTCGTGCTTTGACTTATATCCGCGAATTCTTATCACCAGCGAAATTATCGAACATGTTAACCAATTTTACGGACCTTAATTAGCACAACATGTTGAAAATCCTTCTAAGATAACCCAACGCTGTTATGCAAGCTTAAATAAACTCAAATCAGATTATCACCGGACAACTGGGCAGTCAATTCAATGTTAAATCAATACTTACATATAAGTGGCCACAACATATTTATGTGTACACAGTAGGTGACTAATTGATTACAGTTTACTCCTTCAAAGGTACATACACATTTGATTTTTTTTCCGAGTTGTGTTAAAAGTCACTGACTGATGACGACGCTCGGGATCAACCCTTAAATGATCCCACTCAAAATACTTTGCGCGACACATGGGATTTGGGTACACAGCAAAACCCCCGAAAATATGTACTGAATACGAAACCGCAAAATATTGACCCCGCTTATATAAAGCACTATACAGTAAGCACTGTTTGAATACCTCTACCACATGTACATGTATGTAACTTGAACAGTCTAAATTTTTACCTAAGTATTTTATCTAAACATATTTTCTAGGCTCAAAATTCCATGAGTAACTTAATTGTGAAATAATTCTTTAAAAATATTTGAAATGAAATATGACAGTGATTTTTGGGGGGACATTTGTGCCCTGTAATGGGCCCCATTCCCAACTGTTTATTCTGTATTCCCAAAATTTCCAGTATACTCCTCAAAAAACACTTTATAAGCAAAAGTTTCTTTCTTGCAACATACATATTACAAGTCATATACTCCAGAAACTATGGGGTTCAGAGGTAACCCTTAGTGTCATCATTTGGCCCATGTACGAAATGGGTATGTGATATTTGCGTAATGTTATTTCCCTTTGGAACATAATGTCCCCGAATGACCTTGTATGTCTGGTGCATGAAATGAACTTGTTCTAGTCTTTCATTTTTATAAAGCTTCTTCTCCATTTACTCTACAGTACACTGGTGCAACCCTTTAAATGACAATCTTGAAATGAGCTTTAAGCTCTAAAATTGATTTTGGACTATAGAGACACATATATGTTAACTTTCATAATTAATTTATGGTATGCTACAATTATGAGGTAAAATAATCGATAGTTACAAATGTGAATCTGTTTGTGTTCAGGCTATATATATATACCTAGTGAATGATCAATGAATTATTTCGTTGATGAGTTCTGTTAGAACCGTACACGCACAAACAATAACATTTATGTATCCTGGCGGTGTATTATATAAGTGCTCAGGGCCATCATCATAAGGTCAGCAATATAGTTCAGTAATTCTCAAATGTGCTGTGAAATCATTTGGAACATGAACTTTATTTGTTCATGTAGCTTATGGCTATATATATGCTACCTGGTTTTGACATGCCTTTTCTCCAAATGAGCTTCACAGTTGAAAATAAGTTTATTGATTTTCCTCCATGTATTATAAAATACCTGGTTAATATTTTTTAGGGATGGGACTTTTTTGTGGCCATTTTTGACTGAGGCACCATTCCATATATTTTCCTTTTTTTTTCTTTCCCCAACTTGTATTCAGATGAATTGCAACATTCAACATCTAAAATGTAATGATCTATCATAATTAAGGATGTCTTAGTCTTTTTGATGACATTGTGTTTGAAAAAGTATGACTATGAATTTTTGGTATAATTCTGAAAATTCACAGAACTTAAAGTTTACTGGTGCACATCACAGCTCTCCAAATACAAAAGGCTTAATTCAATCTCATTCACAAAAGCTGTGAGAAAGACAACTCTGACACAAATCAGAGATAAATTGTATAAATATAAAACAGCACATATCCTGCTGCCTTTAATTAATCCTTTCACCACTGTAGTCCATAATGGACTTATCCAGATCAATGGTTGTTAGGGTTAATTAAAGTTACCTTAACTTTAAATGTGTTGGTTGATGCTCCAGGTGAGGGAAAATGACAGATAGGTAGTTTTTAGACACTTTTTTCCTCAAACAACGTTCTTATACTTTTTATTCAACTATGGCAGAGAATTAAATGTCGTTTTATTCCATTCCAATGTTTGTCGTTTAATTTTGTTATCTTGTTATTGTACATGTTCTGTTAAAGTATATTTGTTTACTTTTTGAAAATCAGATTTTTATTTTTGTATACTTTTTCATATTTATTGTATTATCTTATACTTGCCAACGCTTAATGTAGAAACTTACGTCGCTCTCATATTTTCATCGCAACTACCGGTACCCGGTATGTAAAAAGACATGAATTGAAAACAATATTTAAGCTTGAAGTAAAATAGATGAAACAATTTCGTAGAAAGTATAATATACCATATCCAGTAGATGAATATCTCTATGATAAATCTAGTCTTGTAATTCATTCTGAATAGCCCCATTCTGTAGAAGCTTGATGTATATATGTATGTAAAAAGGCCAGCACCTTATTTAGTCATCTGTTTTATGCTCGTCCTCGAAATTCAAGGGTTCTGCTAGTTCTTGATACACATGTCAGCTTTTCACCCCAGGAATATGTCAGGACAAAATCCAAGGCTCGCTTGGCTGTCAAGCAATTTGTCAGGTTTTTATAAATGAAACCAATCAAACTGCTCCGCTTGATATCTGACTCCTGTCCTTTGAAAAAACAGCATCCCCGATACTCCAGGGGTTACAGGGTTTACACTCGATTACGGCGCTCTCTGCGCCCTGGAATATGTCATAGCAAAAATTGAAGGCACAAAAATAGTTATTTGATAGGTCTTGAGTTAAAACAAACTGACCAATCGCTAAGGCTGATACTTGTCCTTTGAAGATTACAGAGGAGCAACACCCGACTTCAAAGACAGTCAATTTTACTGTTATGCAATCGCAACATTCTTTTGATGTACATCAATTGATCAAACTAGTCTTTCTGTCTCATCCACAAGGTGGCAATTTCAGAGCCTTCACTTTAATCATGACATATTCCAGGGGTGCAGAAAGCATTAGTGAGTGTAACCCCTGGAGTATCGAGGATTAAGAAACTGAAGAGCTACACCCAACTTCAAAGCCTGCCAAATTTACTGTTATGCTGCTGCATGATTCCTTTGATCTTCATCAAAAAACATCAGACTTGTTCAGTTGTATCATCTGCAAGGTGTCGCATAAAGAGCCTTCAATTTCGTCACTCCAGGGGTGCAAGAGACGACATGTGTATCAAGAGCCTAAGTATTTCTTACTGATTACTGCTCAATTTATTGGTATTACAGCACTGCAATATTCATTTATCTTTTATTTATTTATATATATATATATTTTTTGCAATAACATTTATCTGTAGATAAATTGTTTTTGAATACAATATATACAATTAATAATTCTATAAGAATTGAAACCTTCTAGATGAAACTAATAGATTTATTCTCATATGACGCTGGCTGTTACGAGGACGTTAAACCCCAAACTAACAAACAAAGCATGTATGTGTCAAAATATATTTGAACACACAATGTTTGTACTTTTTGTTTGAAAACTTTGATACATGGACAAGTTCCTAGAACCAACCAACATGATTCACCCACTGCAAAATCTTAGTATTTTTAGGCAAGATGCACAATCAAACAAAATAGAAAACAGTAGTTTATTATATAGTTCGCCATTTGTAGAAATACAAAAATAAATATTACTCAAATTAGAAAAATTGCGAAAAATTCACACTGTGTTTATATAAAGGTATCGGTACCATTGCCCATTCTTTGGGAAAGTCGGATTTAAAACTGAAACAATACATATGTTATACATTGACTTATAAATATATAAAATGCACCTTGCACAATCAAATTTATAATCAAAAAAAAATCTATAATGTGTGCAATAAAACATGCAATAAAGTAACAACTATATATACCACCGCGGTATATACATCCTTCGATATTTTAATCCGTTCCGATCGCGATTTCAAAAGTGATGTAAATAATCTATTGATGCAGAAATGAGCTTCAAACAGTTACAACTTCTTCGGCAATGTTTTATGCCATGTATGAATTCAAACCTACCACTGGTAAAGTATGGTAGTTGTGGAGAATTTCGAATTTTCGTGGGTCAAATATTTGTGACAAATTTCTGAAAGGTTGAAAGATGTTGACTGAATGAGCATAATATGACTGTATCAGATAATTTATTGTCTTGTGTTTTAATTTGATAAATTGAATATAAAATAGAATCAGGTATTTCATTTTTTCTACTTAATCATGCACATATTATTATATTATTTATGCACATATATATATATACATTTACCATTATAATGTATTGCCAACACATGATGCCTAAATATATATTTTACTTTTTTTTTTCATTTTATTTGATATTTCCATTTTTTCTGAATGAAGGCCATGTAAAGAGTATTATCTTGTTTCCTATCATGCTTTGTGAAATTCGAATTTTACATAGCAGATTCAGATCAATATGACAAATCTACATACAAACCTTAAAAAACACTATGAAAGTGAGATTTTGATACTGTAAATCGGTCAAGTTTTGGGAATTCTGACAATCAAGAGCCCTGTTCAAGGAAATTCAAATTTGCTATAGAAATATTTATAACTACCGTATTTATTGTGCAGAAAGCCCGAGGGGATCAACACATAAATTTTAACTCATTCATCCCTGAAATTTCATAATGAACTGTTCCAACCTTTGAATTGGAAGAGTTTAAATGTGACTTCAGGGGGTTGAATGAGTTCAATCGAGTCAGAGAGTTGGCTTATTTTAGGACAATGAAATTGCACTTGTCAGCATTTCTATTTAACTGTATTTTAATGGGTGGGTTTATTACCAGGCATGGGGTTATTGCTGGATAAATACTGTATTTGCCCTTTGTTTAATTGTGTCTAAATAGATATATCCCGAGACATTTGAATTCCTGCTATTGAAATACATAAATTATCTACCACACAAAACATGCATGTAAGTTAATTCATTCACCCCTACATATTTAAACTGGACTTGACCAGTCTTTGATTTGGTAAGGTTCAAATGTGACTTCAGGGTTGAAAGGGTTAATTACAGAAATATTGTGAACATGGCCTTTAAACAAAAGTTATTACTATGCACTCATATATTATACATTATAAGCCTTGTTTGAAAAGCCTGTTTTCACTTCATAATATCAGGGTACCTTTATTTATATGCCTATACATATCAGTACATTGTGATATTGACATGGAATCTGCCTCTGAATTTTAATTGCTATCTAGCGATTTTCTATTTAGTATCATGGAGTTTGTTTGTAGATGTCATAGGAGTTAATATTTCCTACTATCGAAATTAATTTCACTGAAAAACATCTTTAAGAATCCCTGTCGCGCTGCAGGCAAAACACTTGAGAGTTACCTCCCCTTAATTTCGTTTTGGATATAACTGTAGCACAGTTGGGCCAGGACGCTTCTGTTGACCAGGTAGTGCTGTCTGTTTGAGCGACAGCATAACAAGGTGCAGGATTTGAATCCTAGATCTTTTACACACAGAACACTGTTGTTGATAATATTTTGTTTATTTCATCTTTATAACATTTTCATAAAATATCTGCAAGGTATGGTTTTCTTTATAAGAAATGATTAATCAAAGCTATAGTTATACCTGAAAAATAGTTTCTAATGCATATAGTTTCAGTTTTTGGCAGAGGTATGGGGATCCTTAATTTCTAGAATCAGTAATTAGACTACTACTAATAAAAATAATGGCTGTATCTAGGGGTATTGCTAGGTCACTGCTTTGTGTATTTTTTTCATTACTGCGGAATTTCCTGGAAGCAACAGATGTATGTGATAAAGTGTGAAACGTGTATTCACAGGGTTTTTTTGCATACTCTGTATCAATTCACAGGATATCGCTATTAACACATTTTTCCCCCTGAAATTCATGCGGATGTGGAAGTGTTACCTGGTAGCCATGTGCTAATGATAACTTACACTAACATACGTATAATTCAAATCCATTTATCAGAAAATCTGTACATCCTTATAATTACTGAACACTAGGAAATTTTCACTGCGGTTAAATTTTTGCTCTATAATGAGAGCAATTTATCATAACAGCGAACATTTGAAAACAACTTACCGGTAATTTACATACCCAGTAGTGTAAATGGCGAATTACTGTCAAAGAGTTAAAAAAAAATCCTGTTATACATTACTGTCTTACCATGTGATTGTAATGCTAGTCTTGAAATCACTTTCTGACAGTTATCCAGCTGACTATTGGGTGTTGGCTTCATCGCAGACACCTACAAAATCAGTGATAATTTAAGGTGTATTTGGAGCCATATTGTAACGCTCCTTACCCTGGATAATTTCTGCTTTATTTTCCCAAAATCTTTGCAAAAAAATCTTTATTTTTCGCAAAATCATGCTATTTAGATTGCATGTGATATTTTCCCAAAATACAAATAAGGCACAACCCCATATGGCAAAGAAGAAGGAAGAAAAATCGTCGGAAATGAACCACTAAATTTAGGTTTTATTGATTTTCAGAATGATTATAGTTAGATATATAAAAGCAAAGTTCAATCTGCATTCTATATATTTACAGACTCCTATGATTTTTGAAGAGTATTGAAAATAAAAAAATCATATCACTCAACTATTTATCTGTAATATAAATGAACATAATGCTGCTATCAAATGCTTGACAATGAGTTAAGGCCACCAGTTCTGTGTCCGACACCATTTTGTTTGTCAACCCTTCCTGACAAACTTGGCAAAGTTTAAAAATTGTGGGAAAATGAGATACACTTTACGTATTTGATATTTTTCATTTATTTTTTACGAAAAAAAATGAT